AGATACTGCAAAATCCCCATTCCTCCCCACTCCAGGGGAAGAACACTACAAAATCCCCATTCCCTCCCCATTCCTGGGAGAAGGATACTGCAAAATCCCCATTCCCAACCCACTCCAGGGGAAGGATACTGCAAAATCCTCATTCCCACCCCACTCCAGGGGAAGGATACTGCAAAATCCCATTCCCACCCCGCTCCAGAGGAAGGATACTGCAAAATCCCCATTCCCACCCCACTCCAGGGGAAGGATACTGCAAAATCCTCATTCCCTCCCCACTCCTGGGGGAAGGACATTGCAAAATCTCCATTCCCACCCCGCTCTGGGACCAGCCCGAGGTGGCATTTGCCGGTTCTCCGAACTGCTCAAAATTTCCGCTACCGGTTCTCCCGAACCTGTCAGAACCTGCTAGATTTCACCCCTGGCTCCAGCCCCGTCATAAGCTTGCGATGTTTAAGCCTCCGCTGTGATTTGAGTGAGGCTGTTGCTTCTTTAGGCAAATTGGGCAACTCGTAGTTCTTGACTTACAACAGTTCTTTTAGCGACCGTTCACAGTTACAATGGCCCTGAAAAAATGCGACTGACAGCCGTTTTTCACACTTAAGAAGCGTTGCAGGGGTGGAAAAGAGACCTCGGGGGGCAAGGAGAGGGCGGTTCCACCCAGGGGACTCCAATTGTGCAATTTTCACTTGGCACGCCTCTGCCCGAAACCTTGTTGTTCTCGGTAACGCCGTGCAAATTGATCGATCCCACGGTTGATTTCTCGCACGCTGTCAACCTGCTCGCTTCTACTGCAATTACAGTGACAGTAGAACGATAGCACAGAAACGCAGGAGAGAAAACGGCCTTGCTTTAAAAAGGGGAGCTGGGTAGAAAAACCGAGGTTTATTTTGTAGTTGTACGGAGAGGTAAGGAGTTGGCCTTGTGGGCGGTTTTTTTTAACCGTCTTTGGCAGGGTGGCTTTGATTTAAATCGAGTTGATTTAAATCACAATTTCAATCATGATTTAAATCACTAGTAAAAAGGCTTGATTTAAATCAACTCGATTTAAATCGTAATTTTGAAAGAGCCGCTGTCATCTCTGCTACTCCTTTGACCCACTGTTGACTCACCGATAGTCCCGGTGTTGCAGAATATACAGCCTCCTGCTACAGAACTAAGCTCCTTTTCATGCTGAATAAACTAAATTATTTATGTATCTTAAATAGAAAACTATTTTACGATAGATTTTTTACCCCAAAAGTATTTTATTAAAATAAATTCGATAAAAATAAAAAATAAAATCCCATTTAAATCAAAAAAATCCCATTTAAATAAAAAAAAATCTGATTTTTTTGATTTTTTTTAAAAAAAATCATTGATTTTTATCCTCCCTGGTCTTTGGGCTGTGTGTTTTATATACTTTTTTTTTTTAATTTGATTTATATGCCGCCCTTCTCCGGAGACTCAGGGCGGCTTACAATGCGTTAAGCAATAGCCTTCATCCTTTTGTATATTTTATACAAAGTCAGCTTATTGCCCCCACAAACTGGGTCCTCAGTACTTCCCCGGCTGGGATTTGTGTTTCGTGATGGGGTCTTGGGCAGGGGTGAAATCCAGCAGGTTCTGACAGGTTCTGGAGAACCGGGAGCGGAAATTTTGAGCCGTTCGGAGAACCGGCAAATACCACCTCTGGCTGGCCCCAGGAGTGGGGTGGGAATGGAGATTTTGCGATATCCTTCCCCTGCCATGCGCACCAAGCCACACCCACCAAGCCACACCATGCCCACCAAGCCACGCCCACAGTTTAGTTTAGTTTAGTTTTATTAAATTTGTATACCGCCCTACTCCCGAAGGACTCAGGGCGGTGAACAGGCACAGGATAAAATACAGAAATACAAAAGTTAAAAACAATTTAAAACCAAATTAAATAATTTAGCCCACGACAATTAAAATCCCAATAAATTTAAAACAAATTAAAATTTCAATTTGAAATTTAAAAGAAAGGGGAGAAAAATTAGGCCAGGCCGGCTTGCTGGAATAAGAGGGTCTTAAGAGTATGGCGGAAGGTGCGTAGATCCGGGATCCTCCGTATCTCCGGGGGGAGCTCGTTCCAGATAGTGGGTGCCCCCACAGAGAAGGCTCTCCCCCTGGGGGCCGCCAGCCGACATTGTTTGGCCAACGGCACCCGGAGGAGTCCCTCTCTGTGAGAGCGTACCGGCCGGCGCGTAGATAACCAGGTCCTAAGCCACAGAACCGGTAGTAAAAAAAAAAAATTGGATTTCACCCCTGGCAGCACCTCTGTGCAAGAAACCAAGATGGCCCTGAAGCCATCGGTGGTTTCATGAAGAAAGAACCCGCATCCGGTTATTTCTAGCTGTCCCCGACAGATGACCGATCGCTTGTTTGACATCTATTGGGGTGGCTCTTTCCACGACGGCAAAGCTGCCTCACTTGATCTCCCTTTTGCCCGGAGATGGATTTCCGTAAAAGCTTTTTAAGTGGCTGTAATTCTTTTCCCCATCATGAGGTCTCTCTGCCTCCCTGGGTTTTTTGTGGTGAGTCATTTAATGTTGTTGCTTTCGCCCGAGTCCCCGTTTGGCCTGGAAATCTAGCATTAGAGAAGGAGGGGGAGTGTCTAGGTTGTGAGATGCTGGAGGCCACCGGAGTGGGGTGGCTTAAGTTTCTCCCTTTCTTAAGACAAGGAGAGAGTCTGAAAACGTTGAGTTGTGGGTCTTGAAGTTCTGGAGCAAGGGTGTCCTACCTTGGCACCGTTAAGACCTGGGGACTTCAACTCCCAGAATTCTCCAGCCAGCCTGGGAGTTGAAGGCCACCAGTCTTTTAAGTTGCCAAAGCTGGACAGCTCTACTCTTGACCACACATGGCCAGGGCCAGCTCTGTATCTGACCACAAGAGCTTAGACTTTTATGAATTTTTTCATTTCCCTTTCCCTCTCCTCTCCTTTCCCCTCTCCCTCCTTCCTCCCTCCCTCCCTTCCCCCCTATCTATCTATCTATCCATCCATCTCCCTCCCTTCGTATCTATCTATCTATCTATCTATCTATCTATCTATCTATCTATCTATCTATCTATCTATCTATCATCTATCTATCATCTATCTATCTATCTATCTCCATCCATCTCCCTTTCCTTTCCTTTCCTTTCCTTTCCTTTCCTTTCCTTTCCTTTCCTTTCCTTTCCTTTCCTTTCCTTTCCCTTTCCTTTCTCCTTTCCTTTCCTTTCCTTCTTTCCTTTCCTTTCCTTTCCTTCTTTCCTTTCCTTTCCCTTCCCTTCCCTTTTTCCTTTCCTTTCTCCTTCCTCCCTCCCTCCCTCCCTTCCTCCCTATCTATCTATCCATCCATCTCCCTCCCTTCCTCCCTCCCTCCCTTTCTATCTATCTATCCATCCATCTCCCTCCCTTCATATCTATCTATCTATCTATCTATCTATCTATCTATCTATCTATCTATCTATCTATCTATCTCCATCCATCTCCCTTTCCTTTCCTTTCCTTTCCTTTCCTTTCCTTTCCTTTCCTTTCCTTTCCTTTCCCTTTCCCTTTCCCTTTCCCTTTCCCTTTCTCCTTTCCTTTCTCCTTTCCTTTCCTTTCCTTTCCTTTCCTTTCCTTTCCTTTCCTTTCCTTTCCTTCCCTTCCCTTCCCTTCCCTTCCCTTCCCTTCCCTTCCTTTCCTTTCCTTTCCTTTCCACTGCTTGTAGTGGTGTTTTAAGAGAAACGGAAGGAATGGTGGCTTGGCAGCCAGGTACGTTCCCCCAGTAGCCATTGTGCAGATTTGTTTGCAACAACCAACCAAATGCCCGCCAGGTGTAATGAGCAGGTCAAACGAAGGAGCATCGCTAGCAAACGGTAGCCTTTCCTTTTTGAACGGATTGGTGAATGGGAAGCTTTTTATTATTTGGAAAGCTTCTGTTTTCCTGCTGAAAAAGGGAGTTGATCGCTTTTGTAAAAGCCGTTAGCTGGGAAGAGCCGTGAGTGGCTCCCCCTATTCCTCAGTATTATGAGATCAGTAGCAGCAGAGCCTTCGAAATTATCAAATTTATTTTGCTGTCGTTATAAACGTCTCCTCCTTTCCATTTTTCCATGGCGTCCTTTGCCGTTTTTATGGTTCGACAGAATTTTAAGTGGCCCTCAAGTCAAAGTTGTAAAGTTAACGTCCCTTTCATAGGCTTTTTTTTCTACACCCTCTTATCATTATTAATCATTCTTTTTTTTTTCCCCTTGTTGTTAAACGTAGCTTTCTCTTCGTCTTGTTTGCCTGCCAAAAGAAAAGGTCATTACTGAAGTCTTTTTTACAGTCAATTCATAACTCCGATCTCAGCTTGTCTTTAATTCCCAAAGTGGCAGCCACTTTAAAATCACTTACAAAACACAAATGAAAGGCAAGGAGGGAGGGAGGGAGGGAACAGGGAAACAGAAGGACAGGCTTCTCCTCTTATTATTATTATTATTTTAATTGCTTGATAAGGAGTACTCTCGTGCTATCCATCCTGATAATGCATGGACAGGAAACAAGAAAGTATTCCTAATTCCCCAGGTGGCATTTTGGGCCCCCGAGAGACAGAGTTATTTGGACGTCCCCTTTTCGTAGGGACGCGGTGACTCAGTGGCTAAGATGCTGAGCTTGTCGATCGAAAGGTCGGCAGTTCCGCGGTTCGAGTCCCTGGTGCCGCGTAACGGAGTGAGCTCCCGTGACTTGTCCCAGCTTCTGCCAACCTAGCAGTTCGAAAGCAGGTAAAAAATGCAAGTAGAAAAAATAGGGACCACCTTTGGTGGGAAGGGAACAGCGTTTCGTGCGCCTTTGGCGTTGAGTCATGCCGGCCACATGACCATGGAGACGTCTTCGGACAGCGCTGGCTCTTCGGCTTGGAAACGGAGATGAGCAGCGCCCCCTAGAGTCGGGAACGACTAGCACAGATGTGCAAGGGGAACCTGTACCTTTTACCCCTTTTCTTAGTTTTATAATAATTGATATCTGTCTGCCCATTTATCTATTCCTCCAATTTCAGAAAAAGAGCCGGGAAGAAACTTGTGGCGAAGGCAGTGGCGTGGAGATTTTGGAAAACCGACCGTATATCGATGGCCCGGGTGGCGATGGGCAGTATACCCATAAAGTATACCATATTGGTATGCATATTCCCAGCTGGTTCCGATCGATACTCCCAAAGGCGGCTCTCCGAGTCGAAGAGGAATCGTGGAATGCATATCCTTATACCAGGACGAGGTACCACCCAGTGATTTTTTTCCCCCTGGGCATTTTTACCCCATTGGTTTTGTTTGTTTGTTTGTTTTTGCAAAGCCCTGGTGGCGCAGCAGACTAAAGCACTGTTATTAACATCAGCTGCCTGCAATTACTGCAATCTCACCAGGCTCAAGGTTGACTCAGCCTTCCATCCTTTCTAAGGTAGGTAAAATGAGGACCCGGATTGTGGGGGCAATAAGCTGACTTTGTATAAATATACAAAAGTATGAAGGCTATTGCTTAACACATTGTAAGCTGCCCTGAGTCTCCGGAGAAGGGCGGCATATAAATCAAATTTTAAAAAAAAGTCGGGGGGGGCTCTGGAGTAGCAACCAAGAGTTGGGAAAATGAGAGCGAGGGTCAACCCTGAAGCTGACCTGACCGAAACCATCTTGACAGATTCAGGGTTGCCATACTGGAGCTGAGGGATAAGGGAGGGAGGGATTTGAGATGGCTGGGACTTTGTAGCCAAAACAAAATACTTTCTCTTGGGAACCAAGGTCATTCTCACACCTGGTCAGAGGAAGGCGGAGTGATGTCACCAGGTAGCTAGAAAGCATAGAGATTGGACCATGTGACTCAGAGGTGGGTTTCAGCAGGTTCCAGAACCAGTAATGGAAATTTTGAGTAGTTCGGAGAACTGGTAAATACCGCCTCTGGCTGGCCCCGCCCCCATCTATTCTCTGCTGCTGCTGCTCGGGAGGAAATGGGGATTTTGCAATAACCTTCCCCCGGGAGTGGGGAGGGAATGGAGATTTTACAGTATCCTTCCCCTGCCACGCCCACTCACAGAACTGGTAGTAAAACAATTTGAATCCCACCACTGATGTGACTGCTTGTTTTGCGAAAGTGACAAACTTTTAATTAGGTGAAAACCTTCAGAGTCGGTTTTCACCAGATCTGTGCAGTGGTGAAATTCCATTTTTTTTTACTACCGGTTCTCTGGGCGTGGCTTGCTGGGCGTGGCAGGCGAAGGATACTGTAAAATCTCCATTCCCACCCCACTCCAGGGGAAGGATACTGCAAAATCTCCATTCCCACCCCACTCCAGGGGGAAGGATATTGCAAAATCTCCATTCCCACCCCATGCTAGGGGAAAGATATTGTAAAATCTCCATTCCCACCCCACTCCAGGGGAAGGAGACTGCAAAATCTTCATTCCCTCCCCACTCCAGGGGAAGGAGACTGCAAAATCTCCATTCCCACCCCACTCCAGGGGAAGGAGACTGCAAAATCCCTATTTCCACCCCACTCTAGGGGAAGGATACTACAAAATCTCCATTCCCATCCCACTCCAGGGGAAGAATACTGCAAAATCCCCATTTCCACCCCACGCCAGAGGGAAGATATTGTAAAATCTCCATTCCCACCCCGCTCCAGGAGAAGGAGACTGCAAAATCTCCATTCCCTGCCCACTCTGGGGCCAGCCAGTGGTGGTATTTGCCGGTTCGCCGAACTACTCAACATTTCCGCTACCGGTTCTCCAGAACCTGTCAGAACCTGCTGGATTTCACCCCTGGATCTGTGCCAATATGATATATCCAATAAAGCTCTTCTTTGAAGAATCCACCTGCCTCGGAGTTTTGCTTGATATATTGAGCTTATAACATCTAAGACAGCATTTGTACGTGGGGGGGAAAAAAGACCATCATTTAAATTTCTTCACATCAACACGGCAGCGAGCCTGTTCCGGTTTTGCCTCGTTGGCAAAAAAAAAAAGCTTTATGAAAGCCGAGGTGCTAATAAAATTCTGTGTTACTCTGTGTATCCCGGAGGCCTTTTTCATTTATTTTGCTGGCTTTTTCCTTAGGAAAACAGCTGCCTTTATTACACACCGTATATATATGTGTGTGTATGTGAGCGCGGGTTGGGAGGGCTCTGACACGTTTTTAATCTAAAGCTTTTGAGTTGCTCTTTTTCTTCTTCTTCTTCTTCTTCAGGTACACCTGCCCATTTGTGGAGAAATTCTCCATCGATATTGAAACCTATTATATACCTGACTCAGGAGACCAAGCCAACGTGTTCAACCTTTCCCCAGCAGAGGAAAGGCAGACTGTTTTGGGTGGGTGTCAGCTTTTCCCCAAATTTTAATTTCTCTCTTACAGTTTGGCTAAGGCAGACAGACAGATTTCAGCTGTGATCGGCCTTCCTCAGGCCTCGGCACAAACGGGGATGATTTTTTGTGAATAATGGCAGAAAATTGTGACGGGACTCAAATTGCTCCCTGCTTTTTTCCCATTTGATTTGAGAGAGAGATAAAACATAGGAAGAACGGTTGCAGGGACTGGGTATGTCTAGTTTAATGAAAAGGAGGACTAGGGAAGACAGGATAGCATCTTCCACTATCTCAGGGGCTGCCCCAAAGAAGAGGGAGTCAAGCTCTTCTCCAAAGCACCTGAGGGCAGGACAAGAAGCAACGGGTGGAAACTCATCAAGGAGAGAAGCAACTTAGAACTAAGGAGGGATTTCCTGACAGTGAGAACAATTAATCAGTGGAACGACTTGCCACCAGAAGTTGTGAATGCTCCAACACTGGAAGTTTTTAAGAAGATGTTGGATAACCATTTGTCTGAAGTGGTGTAGGGTTAGGGTTGGACTAGAAGACCTCCAAGGTCCCTTCCAATTTGGTTACTCTGTGATTCTGACGAGATCTTTTCTAGTTGGCAAAAGTATGAACCGGCCCCCTCCGTTGGGCTTAGCCTGTTCGAATCCGGTGTCCTTTTAGAAAGAGGTGGCGATTGGGAGGTCTTCTCCTGAAAGGTAGAAGAAGAGAAACGTTCTCGCTGGCTTCCCCGGGGGAAGTTGAGGCTACCCAGCTTCTGCCAACCTTGAATAAACTGTTTAAACAACCAGCTCTTCTTGTGTAAACAGAAAGAGGTGGAGACCATGGTACTGTTTCTACACTCTTATCTAAACACAGCAATCCTTTAGGGCAGGGGTCGGCAACCTTAAACACTCAAAGAGCCATTTGGGCCTGTTCCCCACAGAAAAGAAAACACCGGGAGCCACAAAAACGCTTCCCGTGCCTGACGATTTCTTGAGTGGCCACAAAACTAGCATATGTAGTTGAATTAAACATTAGGTTTTCTTCTGAAACTTTTCTTTTCTTGGATTTATCCATGGTTGGCCTACCGGAGGTTGAAAAGCTCAATAAATCGCGTGCCGGCGGGTGTCGCACATTGGCGGTTGTGACGCATATTTTGAGTGACAGGGAGCCGCAGCAGAGGGGGGAAAGAGCCACATGCGGCTCCAGAGCCGCAGGTTGCTGACCCCTGCTTTAGGGAAAGGCTATTGAGGGATTGTTTCCTGTGGCTTGAGCGTATTTATTCTGTGTATTTCCCCCCCTCTCCCCACATTAGATCCTATCGATATTGTGAAGGATCCCGTCCCACCCCACGAATACAAATCAGAGGAGGACCCAAAGGTCTTCAAATCAGCCAAGACAGCCAGGGGCCCTCTGGCAGAAGACTGGATCCAAGAGCACCAGAATAACCCTGGGAGATATCCCGTCATGTGTGCCTATAAACTCTGCAAGGTGGAGTTCCGTTACTGGGGGATGCAGTCGAAAATCGAACGTTTCATCCATGATGTTGGTGAGTCTTTGATCTCGGGGGTCTCCACCGTCAGCTCCGTTCTTTTAGGAGGGTCCTGGATCCTCAGGCTCCCCCAGTGGCAGGCATCTCAACCTGGTTGAGCCCAGCCTGGGCCTCCTCCAGATGTGTTCAGTTCCTAGAATTTGAGAGTTGTCATCCTGACACATCTGTAGGATCCCGTTTGGGAGAGGAAGTTCTCAAAGACCAGAGGTCCAAAGATCCAGAAGAATGGTGGAAGAAAGCACCAAGATGTAGTTCTTCTTCTAACCAAGATGGAATGGCTGAAGCCAACTTGGGTTTAACCCTTCGCAGGTGGACAAGCATTTCAACCTCCAGAATTGTGCAGCTGTTGCCTAGAATTCTGGGAATTAGTCCACACGTCCAGAAGGTTGGACTCAAAGGGATTCTCCAATGGATTCTCCAGTGGAATCTGTATAAATTGACTCAAAACTTGGTCTGCAGATCCAGGATGAAAGACATCCTGAAACTGAAGAAACCCAGAGAGATACATTCCTCAGAAAATGAGGTCCCCAAATAGACTTCTTCCTCCTCTTCCTCTTCCTCCTCCTCCTCCTCCTGTGAGACACAGGTACACCTTCCCAAGAAGTTCTACCTACCTTCACAGTTTACAGAAAAATCATGAACTCTCTCCAAGGGTCCAGAATTTCAGGAAGGAAAAATTTATATCTTCATAGGAAAGAAAACATGGAAATAAGGAAATGATTGTCTTTTTTTATTTTTTTATTTTTTTAATTTTTAGACAAACAAACATTTAATACATCAGTTTTCTCTTACCTGTGACATCTCGGTGTTGTCTTCCAAAGTTCTTTCTTTTTCTGTATAATTGTCATTACTTCTTTCTTGATCCTTATCCAGTCCACAATATCAATTCATCTCTAACCTAATATTCAACTCACCGCATATTTTTACACACTTCCATAATTAATCATTGATATCTCTTCTCCAACCAATAATAAAAATCATTCCCTATTTTAAAATGTTCTGAGTCTTCTCTATCCTTTAATCATCAGAGTTAATCTATTCATTTCTGCACAATCTTAAGATTTTTTTTTTAATTACCTCTTCTTCCAAAGGTATTTTCTCCGCTTTCCAATTTTGTGCGTAGACAATCCTTGCAGCTGTTATTACGTGTATTATCAGATAAACTTTTTCCTTGCTAATTTTTTTCAGGTAGGATACCCCGTAGGAACAGCTCTGATTTAAATTCGATACGTTGATGTATCGGAAATGATTGTCTTGAACGGATTGGTGGGTGGAAGGTTTTCATTATTTGAGAAGTTTCTGAAGCTTGTCTTAATACGAGTCCAAGAAAGCGGGTTGATGATGGCTGATTTTGGTTCCCCTCTCCCCCAGGTTTACGGAAAGTGATGGTAAGGGCTCATCGGCAAGCTTGGTGTTGGCAGGACGAATGGTACGGGCTCACCATAGAGGACATCCGGCAGCTGGAGAAGGAGGCCCAGCTGATGTTGGCCCAGAAGATGGCCCAGTTCAGCATCAACGAGTCCGATCTAGAACCGCACCTTCCTCAAGACCCCCTGAACGAGCGCAATGTGGAATCCAAGGCCATACCTCCATCCACCGAGGGGGTGGATGCCACCAGCAATACTGACGAATCTTTGCCAGGGCGAGTGCTAACCAAGCAGTGGTCAACGTCTTCCAAATCCTCTTCCAAAAGAGGAGGTGAGTCGGGCCCCCAAGGGGGTGGGGTTTGTCATCATATAAATTGCATTGAATAGAACTCCTCCTCCTCTTCTTCTTCTTCTTCTTCTTCTTCTTCTTCTTCTTCTTCTTCTTCTTCTTCTTCTTCTTCTTCTTCTTCTTCCCTTCTCCTCCTCCTCCTCCTTCTTTTCCTTCTTCTCCTTCTCCTCTTCCTTCTCCTTCCCCATTCCCCTCCTCCTCCTTCCCCTCCTCCTCCTCCTCCTCTTCCTCCTTCTCCTCCTCCTCCTTTCCCATTCCCCTTCTCCTCCTCCTCCTTTCCCATTCCCCTCCTCCTCCTCCTCCTTCCCCTCCTTCTCCTTCTTCTCTTCCTTCTCCTTTCCCATTCCCCATTCCTCATTCCCCTCCTTCTCCTTCTCCTCCTCTTCCCCATTCCCCTCCTCCTCCTCCTCCTCCTTCTTCTCCTCCTTCTCTTCCTTCTCCTTCCCCATTCCCCTTCTTCTCCTCCTCCTTTCCCATTCCCCTCCTCCTCCTCTCCCTCCCCATGTTACACACATACCCCTAGCTGCTCTCTCCCATGAGACCAGATCCACCCAACTGCAGTAACACATGACAACAGGTTGAGCTAGGGACGCATGTCCCAGTGGCTTCTTCATCGTCTTTTTGAGCCTGCTGGAGGGAACAGGCTTTCCTGCTGCCCTGATGGGAAAGCAGCTCTTCCGCCCTCCCGCTTTCCACCTGGCTGGGTTTTCTACCGCAAAAGCCCGACCCACCCCTGGAGTAAGCTTGGAGGGCCAGCCGGCCTGATTCCCTCTCCTATTTTTAGCAGCTTTTACACAAGAGCCTTTGACGTCAACCTAGGGTGATTGAGTTGTCAGTCTGCTCCCTGATCCCCAAAGGATTTGGGTGGCATCAGCAGGAAGGGTGTACGGAGCCAAGGCGGAAAACAGAATTAGTTTGTGGCTTATCCCCGAGGAGGACGCTAACCTTTCCGCAGGGCAATTAGTGAAATTAGAGTCCAGAGCAACGGCTGGCAAAGTTCAGCTTGTCTTCTGGTCTTGTTCAGATAGAGAAGAGAATATTTGTAGCTCAGCTGTGGGGTCTTTGGTGCTCTCTGAGCTTGTTGGTTTTTGCTGTAGACCTTTCATGACTCAACTAGGGAATATCATCAGTGCACTAAGGATGTCACTTGGTTTGGCCATCAGATATCTGCAAGAAAACCTCTACAGTCAGGGAGAACCAGGACCCCACAGTCTTGCCCTCCTCCTCCTCCTCCTCCTCCTCCATTCTGCAAACCCCATTCCTTCTAGCACTGATGATCTTACTAGTTGGGTCATGAAACATCTGCAAGAAAATCACTAAAGTCAGGGAGCACCAAGGAGCCCAGTTTCCTCCTCCTCCTCCTCCTCCTCCTCCTCCCTCCTCCTCCTCCTCCTCCTCCTCCTCCTCCTCCTCCTCCTCCTCCTCCTCCTCCATTCTGCAAACCTCATTCCTTCTAGCACTGATGATCTTACCTAGTTGGGTCATGAAACATCTGCAAGAAAACCCGGCACGCTCAGAGAGCACCGAGGACCCCTACAGGTCCTTGCTCGGGCGTGAATGATGGGTTTGGGGTTCCCGTGCCATCCACCATCAAGTTTGCTATTCACCATCACAATTATTGCTCAACAGCGGAAGAAACGCAATCACGTCTAGGCCTGCCTTTCTGCACAACTGCCAGATGCCTGCAGGAATCTCCATTTGTATCCCTGGCTTTGCACTTCCTAGTACAGAAAGCAGATATATATATATATATATATATATATATATATATATATTTTCCCCCTCGGGGTGCGGGTGGCAAGCTGTAGTTTTGGCGAGGGATGTCAACCACCTTAGGAATGCAGTTTTGATTTTCCGTCTGCGTGCATTTTTGCATCGATGTGCATCTTGCTGCCTGGCGGAGCTGTTGTCTTTTCAGCACTGAGCTTCTCTGCTTAATGAAAGGCGGAAGGTCTGGTTCGGAGAGGCAATTAGTGTTGATAAAAAAAAGAAAAGAAAAAGAAACTGAATTAATCATTCTCTGATCTCAACAACTGCTGAAATTGTGAATCTTAGCTGACAGCCCCAGCACTGTGTTTACATCTCCCTAAATTCTGGGGAATATGTTTGTGTGTGTCTGTCTATCATCTATCCCATCCATCCATCCATCCATCCACCAACCTACCTTCGTATCCTATCCTATCCTATCCTATCCTATCCTATCCTATCCTATCCTATCCTATCCTATCCTATCCTATCCTATCCCTACCCTATCATCCATCCATCATCTATCTATCTATCTATCTATCTATCTATCTATCTATCTATCTATCTATCTATCTATCTATCTATCTATCTACCCTACCTACCTACCTACCTACCTACCTACCTACCTACCTTTCTCTATCTACCTGCCTATCTACCTCTACATCTATCTATCTATCTATCTATCTATCTATCTATCTATCTATCTATCTATCTATCTATCATCTATCTATCTCTTTCTTTCTCTCTCTCTCTCTTCCTACCTACCTACTTACCTCTCTATCAGATAATCTCTCTCTCTCTCTCTCCCTACCTACCAATCTACCTATCTATATATATATCTGTCTGTCTGTCTATCTGTCTGTCTGTCTATCTTATCTATATCTATCTATCATGCATCTATGTATCTATCATCTATCTATCTATGTCTATCCTATCTATCTATCTATCTATCTATCTCTACCTACCTACCTACCTACCTATATGCATGCATATTTTTCTACCTTCCAGTTGTGGTTATTTCTGTATTTCAAGCATGGGAAAGAGAATTTTGCCTGCTTCAAAAGCTGGCTGTTTTTCCTTTCTTTCTTCCTTTTTGCAAACCTTCCTAACAGAGGAACGAAGCTTTTTACTGAAACCTCCCCGTACTTTGGAAAGAAAACAAACAAACAAACAAAAAAAAAAAAAATAGCAGGTTCAATTAGACCACTTCCTTTGCTAAATTGCCGGCCTGTGCATCCAAAGTGATTCCCCCCCCCCACTCCATCATCCTTCCCAGGTTTATAAATATCTTTACTCGTTCAGAGCAGCGAGCAGCCACGGAGGTTCTCCGATTGCCGGGGCTGTCTGGGCAGGGGGTTGTGAGCCCCCCCCGGGACCCGGGTGGGTGTAGCATCCTTGGATTTGCCGTGTCTTGAAAGGTGGCTGGATGGGTCTCTGCCAGGAAAGGCCCCTCCCTCCCTTGGTCTCCGAGAAGAACTGACGGTATCAAACCTCTTTTCTTTTTCCTAGCAAGCCCCTCGCACCATAACATCTCCGAGTGGAGGATGGAAAGCATCGCCCGGGACTCGGAGGAGAGCTCCGACGAGGAATTCTTCGATGCACACGGTAGGTGGGAAACCAAACACACATCCTTTCCAAAGGAGTTACCTTAGTTGGGGAAGGTGGCAACCTGGGATTTTTGCATTCTGCCCTGCAATTCTGGCCATCTGGCAAGGCAGGCAGCTGTTTCCAGAAGAGGAAAGTTTGGGAATTGCTCGGCTGAAAACTTTTGGGTAAGCTTTGGCAGTTTTAATGGTGGGCGGGTTTTAATGGGGGTGGGGGCAAGGAGATCGAAGATGTTCGGCAGGGCAAAATAAATTAAAACACACACACACACAAAAAAAGCAATGAGAGTTAGCCGGGCTCAACCCACGCCCAACTGGCAGATGATAAAAATATGACTAAAAATAGAACGTTAAGGTATTTATGCCTTAATTGCTTTCTCTTTCTCCTCCTCTACCTTCTCCTCCTCGTCCTCCGTCTCTTTCTCCTTCTCAACTTTCTCCTTCTCCTTATGTTTCTCCTTCTCTACCTCCTCCTTCTCTCCTCTCTTCTCCACTCCTCTCCCCCTCCCTCCCCTCCTCCTCCCTCTTCTCTTCCCTTCTCTTCTCTTCCCTTCCTTCCCCTCTCCCTTTCCCTTCCCTTCTCTTCTCTTGACCCCTCCCCTCCCCTCCCCTCCTCCCCTCTTCTCTTCTCTCTTCTCCTCTCTCTTCTCCCCTCCCCTCCTGTCCTCTCCCTTTCCCTTCCCTTCTCTTCCTTTCTCTTCCCTCCCCTCCCCTCCTCCCCTCTTCTCTTCTCTGTTCTCCTCCCTCTTCTCCCTTCTCCTCCCTCCCCTCCCCTTCCCTTCCCTCCTCTTCTCTTCCATAGAAGATATCTCTGAGAACGAAGAGGTGTTCCCGAAAGAGATTACAAAATGGAGTTCCAACGATCTCATGGATAAGATTGAAACGGCAGAAGAAACGGACGAAGCCCCAGGTAGTCTCCATTTAGGGAACAAATGGAGGATACAGACTGTCATCCTCTCGAACACAGTGCTTTATACGACTTAAAGGGGTGGCGAGTGACCTCTTTTTCCCTAAAGTGACTTACGGCTTCCTTCTCTGAGGGAAAGAAAGCCGGAGAACTTGCAACCGACGGTGTTGAGTGTTGGTCGAGCGGCAATGATCGTAACTTTTCCCCGGATTAAAATCCTGACTTTTCTCTCACTGGCAGGAGAGTAAATCCGGTTCATACGCCCATTTTTGTCCCTTCCAGATGATCCAACTCTTGAATCGGCTGCGGGATACCGTGTCGGCTGCAGCATGGAAAGACTGAGCATTATTGAGGTATAACGTTCGATTCCATGCCCTGCTCTTATCGAAAAGCAAGCAAATTTTAACCCTTCTGCAGCCTGCTTCTGTGATCCGTCCGTACGACTTGAGACATGGGCTCCGAAACTTGCCTCAGTTTGTTCTCTGAGGAGGTTCATCCAAAGTGGGCCCAGAATTACGGTCGTTAAGTCGTTGCCGTCGTAAGTCGAAGCGACACAGAACCGATTTTCGGAGAGTGTTTGCGGTGCTGTTAAGCGAACGGGGCAGTCATTAAGTTTCCCCAATGCAGTGGTGGGTTTCAAATTTTTTTTACTACCGGTTTTGTGGGTGTGGCTTGGTGGGCGTGGCATGGCTTGGTGGGTGTGGCATGATGGGCGTGGCAGGGGGAGATACTGTAAAATCTCCATTCCCACCCCACTCTAGGGGAAGGATACTGCAAAATCCCCATTTCCTCCCGATCAGCTGGGACTCAGGATGCAGAGAATAGATGGGGGCGGAGCCAATCAAAATTTTTACTACCAGTTTTCCGAACTACTCAAAATTTCCGCTACCGGTTCTCCAGAACTGGTCAGAACCTGCTGAAGCCCACCTCTGCCCCAATGGGTATTTTTTTTTTCCTGGAAAACAGGATTAAATGGGGGAGCCCAGTTGCAAATCACAGCCATGCAATTGTGCGAGGCCACGAACGGCCCAAAAAATGTGATCTGGTGACCCCAAAAATACGCGTTCACGTCAGTGGTGAAATGTAAAATTTGTTACTACCGGTTCTGTGGGCGTGGCTTGGTGGGGAGGGGCAGTAATGTGATTAGGTGGGCGTGGCCAACTTTTTAAAAAAAAAACTTTTTAAAAGCATTTTTTACAACCTATTCGGACAAATAGGTTGTAAAAAAAAATGCTTTTAAAAGGTTAAAAAAAGTCTCTGGCAATCACAGCTGTGGCGCTCGATTGTCCGAGCCTTTTTTTTTTTTTTTACCTTTTAAAAGCAGGAAGTAACGACATCTGGGTGGGTGGGCAGAGCTTCGCGCCACCATCGCTACCGGTTCTCCGAACCACCTGCCACAATCGCTACCGGATCGCGCGATCCGGTCTGAACCGGGAGCTTTTCACCCCTGGTTCACGTGACTGCATAGGGGAAGAAGTGGGGTGGCTGTAACTCTGAAATAGCTTGGGGGATTCCATCGTTACTTTGAACGTTTGCTAAGCGAGCGGTCGTAAGTCGAGTATTACCTGTCGTATTCTGTTCCCTTCTATCCTCTCCATGCAAAAAAACAGGGAGTTTTTTGGGAATCCAATCCAGTTTTACGCAACACGTCTGGCTAATTATAAGGAGAATAAACACGTAGCGGCAACAGTGTTCAATTAAGGTGCCAATGTGCCAAGGGGAAGCTGGAAGCGATACAACAAAACCTGAGCAGGTTCCAGGAAAGAAAAACTCAGATCTATTCTTGTCACCTTTCCAGCTGATTCTCCTTTGTGTTTACGTGTTGTCTTCTCGCCTGAAGCCTTACTTAGTGTCCAGGTGTCCATAGTGACGTCTCCGAGATTTTTTTTGCTCAGTGGCAGCAGATGGGATCTGCCTAACCGGCAGGCCAGAAGATCTGAGGGCTTCCAGTTGATCGGACCATACTGTTGTGGCTCACCAGCGGCCAGCGGAACTGGCAGCAGATTCAGACAGTGAGGAGGTTGGGGAGGGACATGGGCCAGTCCTGGAGTCTGGGGAAGGCTCTGATGAGGGCTCTGCGTCGGAGGCAGAGAGGGGGCCAGAGCCGTCTGACAGTTGTCAGCTGCCTTCGGAGTTGGACAGCAGTGAGGCAGACGAACAGCTGGAGCCTGTTCCCAGTATGTGCATGCACAGAGCTGCCAGGAGAAGGGAACAGCTAAAGAATAAGGGTCGACTCAGGAGTAAAGCCACAGGTGGACGGTGAATGGCCCCTCCCAGAGGGAATAAAAGAGGAGCGAAAGGGAAGGGGAGTTTGCAGGAGACAATTAATTCGCTTAATTGGTTCGTGACTCTCAGAGATTTCTTGCCAAGTTTTGAAGATATCAGTCTGGCAGCTCTCCAAGCCAGATAAGGTCTGTGACTGTAAATTCTCCCTGGAAAGACTTTGCTGGATGTGAACGAGAGGAATTCACAGTCACTTAATAAAAAGGGGTTTTTTGTCGGGACGAGGAGTCTGCTTCGTGGTTTGGGGAAGCCTAGGTCAGAACACATACCCCCCCCCCCAGAGGTGGGTTTCAACAGGTTCTGACCAGTTCTGGAGAACCGGTAGCGGAAATTTTGAGTAGTTCGGAGAACCGGTAGTAAAAATTCTGACTGGCCCCTCCCTCCCATCTATTCTCTGCCTCCCAAGTCCCAGCTGATCGGGAGGAAATGGGGATTTTTGCAGTATCTTTCCCCTAGAGTGGGGTGGGAATGGAGATTTTGCAGTATCCTTCCCCTGGAGTGGGGACGGAATGGAGATTTTACAGTATCCTTTCCCTGCCATGCCCACCAAGCCACACTCACAGAACCGGTAGTAAAAAAATTTTGGAACCTACCACTGCCCCTCCACCCCCGCAAACTTCCTGCTTCTCCAACAGGTCCTTGAGAATCCGCTTGATCTGAACCTGGTCTTCCTCCCCCTCGTCTTTCCAGGATGAAGCGGCACCTCCGCTGGCTCAACCCAGCCCAATCCACGTCCTCCTTTTGGTCCTCCACGGAGGCAACATCCTGGATACGGGAAGCGGGGAGCAGAGCTCCAAGCAGGGAGATGTCAACACCATCGCCACCGCCTTCGATACCGTCATCCGGGTCCATTACCCGGCCACCCTTGGCCGGATAGCCATCAAACTGGTCCCTTGTCCGGCCATCTGCTCGGAAGCGTTTTCTCTGGTCTCCAAGTGAGTGGACTTCTTGGGGTTTTTGTTTCTTTTTTGGAAGATGGGATAGGATTTAGGGGAAGGAAGGGGCAGGCTCTTTTCCAAAGGAGTCTTGGTGTCAAACCCAGATCTCTGGTTTTGTTTTATTGTTCCGTGGATTTAGGCGCCAGCTGTGGACCTCACATCTGGCTTTGCTTTGGATGGCTGCGTGTATGGGACTGGGGGAGAGACTTCCTTAAGCCCTGATGGGGCAAAACTTAAGTCTCCACCACCATTAAGCTATCTTCATCCAGCCATGTATCTGCTGTGTAAATCTTCCTTAAAACAGATGGTTGTCCAGCCTCTTCTTAAAAATATCCAGAGATAGAGAAACTTCTCTCCCTTCTCTATCCTTTGTCCTTCCTTCCCCCTCCTCCCTCCCTCCCTCCCTTCTCTCTCTTTTGTCCTTCCATCTTCTCTCCCTCCCTTCTCTCTCATTTGCCTGTCCTTCCTTCCTTCCTCCCTCCCTCCCTCCCTCCTTCCTCCCTCCTTCCTTCCCTCCCTCCCTCCCTCCCTCCCTCCCTCTACAGATGCACCCCATCAATCCCCCCATTTCAGAGGGAGCCTTACTTCACACCGCCAGGATGACTCACCCGGGCTCAGCTGCAGCCTGGAGCCATCATCGCTCAGAGCCCATTTATTTCTTAACTCATTTATCATTTACGGGGCGCGTCTTCTCCTCTCCTGCCAGCGCTTCTTCCAGTCCATGTTTAGACTGCAACCCATTTATAAAAGACACCCGTTTCCTTTCCCGGGGTGCAGCAGCTGGCAAAGGTCTGGGTCCTAGCAAAAGCCCCCGATGTCTGCATTTTAGACAGAGCGTTGGGAAACTCCCCGTAGATAAGGAATACATTATTGGTGGGATAGGGTAGCTCAGAGACCGGTTCATTCGTAAGTCACATTTTCTTCCGAATCCATCGTAATTTTGAACGGTCCCTCAACGAATGGTGGTAAGTCGAGGCCTACCTATATCCAGTTGCCTTTTCCTACCCTGTTTCCCCGAAAATAAGACACTCCCCTGATAATAAGCCCAATCGGGCTTTTGAGCGCATGCGCTAAAATAAGCCTCCCCTCTCCGAAAATATTTAAACGCAGAGCTGGAAATCAGGGAAGACGGCAAGAGGAGCCCCGTCTTGTTCCACGCGCCCCAAAATAATAAGACCTCCCCGAAAATAAGGCCAAGCGCTTATTTCGGGGTTCAAAAAAAATATAAGACAGCGTCTTATTTTCGGGAAAACACGGTAGAAAGGAAAGAGCGCCTGATTAGGTGGCTCAGTGGCTAAGACACTGAGCTTGCCGATTAGAAAGGCTCAGCAATTCTGCGGTTTGAATTCCTAGTACAGGTCTGAGTGAGCAGGAGGTTGGACTAAATGACCTCCAAAGTCCCTTCCAACTCTGTTACTGTTACTGATTGACGTTCCTCTTCCTCCTCTCCGTAGCCTCAGCCCATATAGTTACGACGAAGGGTGCCTCTGCAGTAGCCAGGATCACATCCCCCTCGCCGCGCTTCCTCTCCTGGCCACTTCCTCCCCGCAGTACCAAGAGGCGGTTGCCACGGTGATCCTGAGAGCCAATCAGGTGTACGGCGACTTCATCAAGTCCCAAGAAGGTGCATCCTTCAACGGCCAGGTGAGCATCGGGTGGCCTCCGTCGTCAAGAGATAAGCCAGCCATCCTTTTTCCCGGCCGGCGGAAGTTTATCAAAACAGATAGTTGAACTGGGATTGATTTAAGATAAAAAAAAAAAATCAATACTAAGTCCGTTGGCTTATTAAATAACTCCCAGTTATTGACTACGTGGCTCAGTGGCTAAGATGCTGAGCTTGTGGATCAGAAAGGTCGGCAGTTCGGCGGTTCGAATCCCTAGTAGAGGTCTCCTGCTGGAGCAGGGGGTTGGACTAGATGACCTCCAAGCTCCCTTCCAACTCTGTTACTTGTTACTGAAAGGAGTCGATCTGCAGATTGAATCTGTCAGGAACTGGATGGCTCTTGAAGACGTCATTGGCATTGACTCTCAGCTGAGGGACACCAGCTTGGATCAAATTGTGGCTGTGGCTTCTTTCCTTACGCCAGGACTAAACTAGGCAAGATGTAGACTTTCAACATAGACCTTGACCTCATCTCCAGAGTCCTTGAAATCAACATGTTCACTCCTCTAACTCCACCGGTGATCCTTAGAATCTCCACTGGTCAAGATGAAATGGGAGAAACAGAGGTGTCTACTCATTCTTGACCTTAGTTGTCCTATTTTTGGACTCTTCTCACCAGCATGAACTTCCCAATTGAATGTTCTAGAAGCCACATACTACTTTGGAGGAGAGAGAAAACATTAATGGGTAAAGGAGAAGCTCTAGGCTGCAGCGGCCTAGATCTTTATGAGCTGAAACCAAACCAGATGCTTCTACCACCACCTGAGGAAATCATTAGAAACCAGGTTTCTTCTCTTTCTAAGCTTAGCCAATGGGCCCTCCATGTAGCCATGGATGAAGGTGGCCTTCGTCAACATCTGGCATTAGACAACACAGCTGGGTCCACTCTCCTTAATCTAAATTTGTGGTCTTCAAGGTGGACCCACTAGAAAGCCCTCAGACATGACTTTCTAGAAATACCCATCGCCTCTAGACTCAATGTTTCCCAATCTCGGGCATTTCCAGCAGTGTGGACTTCAACTCCCAGAAGCCTCCTCCATGATTATGCTGGCAGTGGAATTCTGGGAGTTGAAGTCCACCACTGTTGGAAATGCCCAAGGTTGGGAAACCCTACCTTTCATTCTCTGCTTTCGATTGGGAACTTGAGTTGGTGTCCCTCAGAGAAGTAACCAGGTATGGGGGTTTGTTTTCCTCAGGTGTGCCTGATCGGGGACTGCGTGGGAGGGATCCTGGCCTTCGACGCCCTTTGTTACAGCAACCAGACGATGCTGGAGAGTCAAAACAGTAGCCGGCGTGGAAGTCTCATCAGCGTGCAGGTAAGCAAGTCGATCTCTCGAGCTGGTTTTGGACAGAATGGAAATCAAACCAGGTTGGTTCAGAATCCGGGATCCTCAAAACCCCAATTGAGAGACCCCAGGGCCAACTTGAATAGGGCCGCTGAATTATGATGTTCAGCGCAACGCATGGTAAGTGACGATATTAAGAGATTTTCGTTCTATTTATCTTGGGTTTAGCTTTGTCCCCGACTCTGCCTGTTTCTTTATCGTGGCCCTAATCCTTTGGGAATTACACCGAGGAGGAATTACGGACACTCTCTGGAAACTGGGCAGGCTCCGAGGTAGACACAGAGCCTAAAATAACAATTCCAGAAGGCATAAGGTCTCCGTAATTCCTTCTCGGGGTAATTCTCCCATTTCACCTCTGCAAGGCCAGCATTGAGTTACATAAACCTGCTTAGCTTATCTATTTATTTATTAAATTTATATGGCACCCATCTCATCGTCAAGCAACTATAGGTGGCTTGCTACAAGATTAAAATGGTCATATAAAATAAAATAAAAAAAAAAACAGAGGCCTCAAACTTGGTAACTTTAAGACTTGTGGACTTCAACTCCCAGGATTCCTTGGCTGAGGAATTGTGGGAGTTGAAGTCCACAAGTCTTAAAAGTGGCCAAGTTGGGAGACCCCCTGGTTTACAACGCTAAAATATTAATATGATAAATATGAGGATCGAGTGGTGCGTGGCCTAGAGGTGGAGGTCTCGCCTCACAATCAGGAGGCTATGAGTTCGATCCTAGGTAGAGGCAGATATTTCTCTCTCTGGGCACAATGAGAATATATCTGCTGAACAAAACTCCGTACTGGCGACAGGAAAGGCAACAGGCCAGTAAACACTCAAGGGATTATAGGGCCATTAAAAGGAGATGAACATGAAGATTGCAATTAATCGATATTAGCTCATCTACTACTGGGGGGGACGGGGGACATTTTGCATCCTTCCACGGGGATGCAAATGCTTGACGGGCACCAGTTATCTTTTCAGCTTCACTTTCTCCCCTCTGGGCTGGCGGTTAAAACCACAGCAGCCACAAAGAGAGTCGGATTGCTTGCTAAGTGGAAAGCCAAAGAAGCGAGGTGTCAGCCGCTCCATCCGCTGCCGCCTGTCGAGCTGGCGGTTCAGGCCGTGCGCGGATGTCCTTCTTTCTCCAACAGACCTGGACGCCCTTCTGCCCTTTCTCAAGAGTCTGATGACCTGGACTGTGTCCTTCCAATTCCAGGACACGGATCTCTTGTCTCCCGGCATCCTGGTGAACAACAGCTACTGCTCGGAAGGGTGTGGGTTGGAAGCCAGCCGGCATCTCAGCCGGAGCACGGCCGACCTGCCGCGCAGCAACGAGGAAGATCTCCAGAAGCAGCAGCTGCTGCGGAAAAGGAGCGATTCGTCCACCTTCGAGCTGGACACCCTGAAGCAGCACCAGGCGTTCCTGTCCAGGTAGCTTTTGGGGAGCCAATGAGGTTGCTCTGGTTGGGTGCCACGTTTTCCTTGGAGTACCAACAGAAGAAGAGAGGATTTGTAGCTCGGGGTTGGACTGTGGGGTCCTCGGTGCTCTCTGAGCTTGGTGGTTTTCTTGCAGACATTTCCTGACCCAACTAGGGAACGTCATCAGGGCTAGGCAGGGGTGGAGTTTGCAAAGACAAGGAGGAAGAGAAAAAGGAGGAGGAGGAGGGACAAGGAAGAAGGAGGAGGAGGAGGAGATGGACGAGGATTGTGGGGTTCTTGGAGATCCCTGCACTTGGTGGTTTTCTTGCAGTTTTCTGGGGGTGCCAGGTCTCCCCTAATATTATCCCAGCAAGATCAACGCTGTGATGAGGCAGGCCATGTTGAGATAAGAGAGGAAGTGGCTCCGATCGCTGAGCGAGCTCTGTGGGGACTTGAACCGAGGTTTCCTTGGGGTCCTCCAGACTTGATCAATGGATCCCCCGCTCCCCTCTTGAAATGATCTGCCCAGCAACTGGGCAGATCATTTCAAGCCGATAAGGATTCCTGTTCGCTCAGCTATACCGCCATCCATTTTATTTCGCGTGTTTCCCATCGGTAGGAAAATTCCCTTCGGTATTATTCTGAAGATTAATCGGATTCCGCGGCTTTTGTTTTTGCTCCTTGCGCTAAATAATGTGGAGGGGCTGTTGACTTCCTCCAGCCTCGGAGGAGGAAAAGGAAAGTTGTAACTCCTTTGCTTTGAAAGTCCCTCCTTGTGATTAATGGCCTCTCCAGCTCTGTAAATCACCCGGCAAACAAGTCTGGATGGTTCATAACGATGAGAACCTCGTTTTAAGATGGTCCTAAACGTAATTATTTATGTTTATATAGTTTTTATCTTTAACGATTGCAAGCCGCCCGGAGTTACCTTGACGGGCGGCCTCTGAATTTGACAAATATTATATATATACATATTACGGTTGTACGCGAGCCTGTCGAGATTGCCTTCCCCTCTTTCACTTCCCTCTCTTATTTCTTCTCTCTTGTTTCTCTTCTCTTAACCCCTTCCCCCTTTTAACCCCTCCCCCTTCTTGCCCCCAACACCTTCCTTGAGGAAGAAATAGGTAAGCTGCACACGCCGCTTTGTGTTACCGTAGAAAAATCTAGAACGTAAGGTGGGGGCACTTTTTTTGTTGGTTTTCCTCTTCTAAATTTAGGCGCGTCTTATAGTCCGAAAAATACGGTAAATAAAACAATCAAAAAGTAATGAGAAAGGCAGAGCTTTGTCCCTTCTTCTAAATTTAAATTCTGCAATCAAAATAATCCCACCATAATGGAGTGTGATGTCCGGCACCATTGTGCCACAAAATCGACGGTTACTTCATTCTTCTGCTGTTTTAAGCAGCTAGTCCTCAAGTTTTTGACTGGAATGGAACCCGCCCATTATGGTCAAAAGTTTTAATGGCGTTAATAAGTCTGAACAGTTGTGAGTCGAGTGTCTGTGTGGTAGATTCTCAAGCGTGCACGTCACGGGTGGTCCCAAAGGCGTAGGAACTGAGGAAGCTTCTTGAGCGAGAAGCGAAACGTTTTCAAAGAAATAAACAAGGAAGTCCAGCTTCCTTTTGCAACTTTTGCAACAAAAAGTCAAGGACCACTTCTGGAAATGTTCTCTGTCCTAGGCATTTTTCTGGCATTCCCTATAGGAAAATTGCATGTCTCGTCAACCGGCGCATGATGTCTAAATGCATTTGTTAAATAAATAACTTTTTCCCCGATTGTCCCTCTGGAAAACATGCTTTCTGCTGACGTTCCTCCTTTTTCCCCTTCTCTAGTTTACATTCGAGTGCCCTGAAGAACTTTCCGGGATCACGACGATCGAGTAGTTCCACTCAATTGGACGGTGGGAATCTTGGGAAGTTTGAGTTTGAGATCACCGACTTCTTCCTCTTTGGCTGTCCGCTGGGGCTGGTCCTTGCCTTACGAAAAACCATCATACCAACTCTTGACAGTAGGTTCCCTGGGGGGCGGGGGAGGGGGGGGGGGGAAAGGAGGCCTCCACCTCTTCCTTTTCACGGGTTTTGTGAGCAGAGATGCAAACTTGGAATGCTAGAATTAGTTCCCGAGGCCAAACGTGAGCATCTTTTAAAGGATAAACATTCAGAGTTGCACAGGTTGCTGTAAAATCATCTCACCTTGACCTCGTGCTTGCAAAAATCCCCTTCTGTGGAGGCCTGTCAGCCGCCGTCCCCTCCGGCAGCCGAATCGGATGAGGAGGTGGATTATAATACATAATGTGATGAATTACACGGTTATAACGTAAGCCATTATATAGCCGAGCGGTCACAATAAAATCTGGGGTAACTCCTCCTTAAAATCCTAATTCACTCTTCTCCTGTGAGCATCTGGTTAGTTCAATTTACATGCCACCCTGAGTCTTTGGAGAAAGGTGGCATATAAATTGAACAAACAAACAAACAAACAAATAAATAACACAGGTGACCCAATTGGTTGCGGGTTGCGCGCTGAATTAAGGAGCACTGAGACCCAACAGGGTTTAAGAAAGAGCATCTTCTCCAAATATTCCTTCGATTTCTATTCTGAAGATGTAACCCATTAACTTTAACTATCTGGAATAACTTTTACTTTTTTTTTAAAAAAAAAAAATTAATTTTATTTTATTTTATTGAAAAGACAGTGCCACGTCAGGATCACAATGCAAATAAAGTACAACCAGAAAAAGATAAATGATAAACAACATACGTGCTAATAACTATAACTGAACTGTGTTAACAGTAATTGCAACAATACAACCCCCCAAAAAACCCCAAAGAAAATAAAAGAAAACTTCAACTAAGTTTCTACTTACATTAGCTTATTTACAAATTTCTCCATATTATATCCATAGTTTTATAGAAGTTTGTTGTATAAACTTCTCTCTCATTTCTGCCTCTTCTCACTTATCCATTCATAACATTTATTCCATGTCCTGTAATATTTCAAGTCTTTTTATCTTTAATTTTTTAAAGTTAATCTGTCCATTTCTGCACAATCCCAAATTTTCCTAATTATGTCATCATCCGGTGGAGTGTTCACATTTTTCCAATATTTAGCATATGTAATTCTAGCTGCTGTCAATATATGTAACACTAAGTAAAATGGCTGCTTTGTTATAACTTTGCAACAATATACCTAAGAGTATATTATACCTAAGTACTGTATCTGGTTTGACCTCAATATGTTGCTCAGTTATCATTTCTAACCAATGATGAATTTTCTCCCAGTAACTCCTTGCTTTCTTACATGGCCACCACATGTGGTAGTATGTTCCTGGAGTCTGGTTGCATTTCCAACAATTGGCGGAGGAGTTCTTATACATTTTGGCCAATCTTGCTGGCGGCAAGTGCCACCTATAAAACATTTTGTACAGGTTTTCTTTATATGCCGCGGCCATCGTCAGCTTGTAGTTTCTCTCCCAAATTTTTAACCCTTTTTCTTATCCGGAAGAACTTTAGAGCCAATGAAGAGGGTTGTCCATGAGATAGCAGAGCTGTGGACTATGGTTTCAATATCCTGCCCCCTTGGCCAACTCTTTCTCTTCTCTACATGGCTTAGTCTTCCAGTTGAGACCAGCCTGCCAGCAAGTCTACAACCTCTTCCACCCAGCTGATCCTTCGGCCTCTCGCTTGGAGCCTCTTCTAGAGAAGAAGTTCCATATTTTACCGCCCTTCAACATCCCACGTTACCAGCGGTTCCCTCTTGGGGATGGCAATTCAGCCCTTCTGGGTAAGGTCATTGTTTCCTCTTTCCCCCCCTCCCATTTCTATCTTTAATTTAAGCGGGCAGGTGATAGGGTGAGCGGCACCTGCTTTAAATTCCTGAAGTGTCTCTTGCCAGCGAGAAGTTGACCCGGCCAAAATGTTCCTCTAGGAATCTGAGGCCCACGCAGTGATGGAATTCAAATGTTTTTAATACTGGTTCTGTGGGCATGGTGTGGCTTAGTGGGCGTGGCTTGGTGGGCATGGTAGGGGAAGGATACTGCAAAATCTTCATTCCCACCCTACTCCAGGGGAAGGATACAGCAAAATCCCCATTCCCTCCCCACTCCAGGGAAGGATACAGCAAAATCCCCATTCCCTCCCCACTCCAGGGGAAGGATACTGCAAAATCTCCATTCATTCCCCACTCCATGGGAAGGATACTGCAAAATCTCCATTCCCACCCCACTCTGGGACCAGCCAGAGGTGGTATTTGCTGGTTCTCTGAACTACTCAAAATTTCCACTACCGGTTCTCCAGAACCTGTCAGAACCTGCTGGATTTCACCCCTGGGTCCACATATTGTCTTCTAGGCTGGGGAAGCAGTGATTTGCTATTCCAGATTTCCTTACGTCCCCGGTGAAGCTGGAGATTTGGAGAAAATCAAATCCAGCCGAGATGGCCAAGATATAAGACTCTTTGGTTGACAAGATACATGTGTCCCAGACTCTTTGTTTTCCTGAGGAACGCAAGCAATGGCATTTTCCTAGGGTTTTAATCCTCGTTGTAGAGTCACCCTTGTCTCCAGCTGTCATAGAGCCTTTCTTCATGTGAAGGACACGCTATTCTGAGTCAGCCATCAGGAATTAATTGCTGTCAAGCTTACGTCCCATGGGGGAAACGCTGTGGGATTTGCTTTTGAAATGGTCTCTAGCACAGTGGTGATCAAATATTGAATCTTGGGCTAACAAGCAAATACAGCTGGCTGATGGAACAGGGATGGTAGAATGTTAGCTTTCTCCCTACGGGTGTGTAGAAGCTCCTGGAGACAGGCCTTAAAATCTTTGCTCTTAGCTAAAATCCACCGTCGTCTGCTCGAGATGTCTTTCAGGTCCAACCTGATAATTAGATCCAATCTCTGAAGGATGGGTGGGAACTCAACTGAAGTGTTCATATCTTGGGACTTCAGAAAAAAATGTACCACCGACAAAGGAAACATTCGGCAGAGCCATGAATCCTGGTTTTATGCACCTGGTCCCATGTGTCCATGAGCTGTCCCCAACTTCTGCTTTTGGGTCCAGGACAATGTGGTTAGGAGAACATCTGTGTTTTGGATTATGGACCACCATTGAACAGATATAAAAGATGGGTTGATGTCCAAGTGGAGAACAAATAAGATGGACAAAGATGGATGGAACACGATTCCATCCAGACTTCTCCCTGTTCCTAAACAAAAAATAACTCCTTGGTATTGTTCTCTCCACTGGACTTCCAAGTCTGGATGTGGACCTCACCACCACAGCAGTTATTGGTCCACTTTTCTGCTGTTGCTCTCAGCGTTGGGCCACCAGCCTTTTATATCTGCTCAGGCCTTGCCATGGTCTATCACCGAAGCTTTGTTTCCAGCATCCAAACTCGTGTAGAAGATGGTGTTGACAGTGGTTGTAGAGTGTCTTGTTCCAAGTGCTTGTGGCCACATGTCTCTTGTCTTCTTGTTTTTTTATTTTTCTTGGTGCCCCTCTTTTGTTTTCTTCCCCGTCTGTTCTAGTGGAAACGGTCCAGAACAACCCTGCCCTCCTCGTTGAAAGCAACCTCCTGGTTGCTCTTCAGAACCAGGACAACTTCATGGAAACCAGTATCCCCGTTCCCACCTTGAACTGGCAAGACGTTTCCAATAAAAATTCTGGATTTGCTGAGTGTGTGTGATCTGAACCTTCCCCCATTTGGTCTCGTGTGGTGTTTTCGGAGTGGTGGCTAATGCTTGAAGATCCCATCCCATCCTGAAAGCTTTTCCAGTAGCAGACAGGCCCACGGAGAACGTGGAGGAAAGCAGGAGAGGGGAACGAAAGAGGAAGCGAGGGGGAACAAAAATTAAGAGTGGCCTTTGGGGCATTTACAATTCTGGGTTAAATACACAAAGAATTTGCAGCCGCTCGAGTACCGTGTTTCCCCGATAATAAGACTCTGTCTTATATTTTTTTGAACCCCGAAATAAGCACTTGGCCTTATTTTCGGGGAGGTCTTATTATTTTGGGGCACGTGGGGCTATTCCTGTCATCTTAACTGATTTCCAGCTCTGCGTTTAAATATTTTCGGGGAGGGCTTATTTTGGGGGGGGGGAAGGTGCATGCGCTCAAAAGCCCGATTGGGCTTATTATCAGGGGATGTCTTATTTTCGGGGAAACAGGGTAGGTAGAGAAGCTTCTGTCCCTGAGCAGAAACTCTTTGTGTTGCTGGAAATAATAGATTCCCCCCAAATCAATATCCATCTTTAACAATCTTCCTCTAAAGATGAACATTTCCCATCTTGTTTCAGCCATTTTTCTCAAGCTGAGCCCCTCCAGCAGTGGTGGAATTCAAATTTTTTTACTATCGGTTCTGTGGGCGTAGCTTGGTGGGCGTGGTGTGGCTTGGTGGGCGTGGCAAGGGAAGGATCCTGCAAAATCTCCATTCCCACCCCACTCCAGGGGAAGGATCCTGCAAAATCTCCATTCCCAACCCACTCTAGGGGAAGGATACTGCAAAATCCCCATTCCCACCCCACCCAAGGGGAAGGATACTGCAAAATCTCCATTCCCACCCCACTCCAGGGGAAGGATACTGCAAAATCTCCATTCCCACCCCACTCTGGGGCCAGCCAGAGGTGGTATGTTCTCCAAACAACTCAATATTTCCATTACCGGTTCTCCAGGACCTGCTAGATTTCACCTCTGCCCTCCAGATGTGCTGAGCTACTGTCCCCCATCAGGAACCAGAATACTGACATGTTGGTTGAGGTGACAGTAGCTCAGGACATCTGGAAGGTGCCAGCCAGGCTTCAGGGAGAAGCTGCAGCAACGTCTGCTTAGAAGTCAACTTTGTGTAGTATTTCAATGTGTGGATGTAACTCAGCTTGACGTTGGTGGGCACAGAATGATGGAAGTTCTAGGAACAGAGGGCCACCTTCTCCAGAACTCAACGAATGGCCAAGTTGAGTTCTTTGGCTTATTTCAGTTGGGTTGATGTGGCCAGGAATAGCCAAGCTTGCATTTATTGTTTGCAGGGGCTGCCTCCAAACCTACTTAATTTTTTTTAGCAAATTAACCACCTTTCTTGCTCTTTGGGAAAGCTTTCACGACCTCCCCTCTCTCCCGTCCTGCTCAAGGCTTCTCTCCCCCCATCCCAACAGCTCTCCTGCATGGCATATCTGTGAGCTTGTGGATGGCTTGTTTGAGTTGTAGGATTTATTTGGGTTGCCTTGTTCTCTCTCTCTCTTTCTCCTCCAATCCCGGTGAGGGGCTTCAGGAAGGATCAGAAATGCCTCCTTCCCATTCAGATTTGGAGTCTACTCACGAAGCCCCTCTAGAGCAGCGTTTCTCAACCTCGGCAACTTGACGATATGTGGACTTTAACTGCCAGAATTCCCCAGCCAGTGTGGCATCCTTAAGATGTATGGACCCATCTCCCAAAATTCCCTAACCAGCATGATGACCTTAAGATATGTGGACTTCAACTCCCAGAATTCCCCAGCCTGCCTGGCGACCTTAAGATAATATGTGGACTTCAACTCCCAGAATTCCCCAGCCTGCCTGGCAACCTTAAGATATGGGGACTTCAACTCCCAGAATTCCCCAGCCAGCGTGGCATCCTTAAGATGTATGGACTTCAACTCCCAGAATTCCCCAGCCTGCCTGATGACCTTAAAATATGTGGACTTCATCTCTTAGAATTAAGGTCGCCATAGTTGAGAAACTCTGCTCTCCACAAACTGTGCCTGTTTGGTGTGAGTCATTCCAGCACTCGGGTGGAATTCTTAGATGTTTCTCTTTCCTTCTGAGGAAGATTCGTTGAGCTTCTTTTCTGTTGGTTCCCATGGCTGTGGAGATCCTGTTTTGATGCTTTCGCCATTAGATGTCCACCTAATTTTTTCCCCTTGGTGCTTCCCTACCAAAGCTTTTTCTATGGTGTTGGTTCCAAGAGCTTTGATTGGGTGTCCACCGTGGTGGCATCCCGCCTAATTTTGTATGTCTGCCTGCTTTTTTTCTTTTCTTTCTTTTCTAAAACAATTTCTTGACGTATTTATGGCATCCTGGTTGTCTTTGTGTGTTTGTGGTTGGGTTTAATATTCTCGTTTTCCCCGTTTCGTCCCTGTAGCAGATGTTGTTCAGTCTCATGGTGGCGTCTTGGTGGAAAACACCTCCCCGTCTGCTCCCGTTTCCGCCCCCCAGTTCAGGGCCTTCCGGAGAGCAAGTGAAGTGAGCATTGTCAGCCAAGTGTCCGGAATGGCCGACAGTTACACTGCTTCCAACATAGCCAACAGTAAGTGTTTTTCCCCCACGGAAATAAGCCTGCCCCATGCTTAGTTCCCTCAACCCCCTGCAAACATCAGCTGATGCCTTCTACTGCTCCTCTCCGAAGTTCTCCAAGCCTGGGAATAAACATGGAGCTTTTCAAGGTATTGCAAAAGAAGGAAAGGGCCAAGGAGCGATTAGCACCCAAAATGGATGCCAACGTGTCCCTCACAGTCAAAAAAGCAAAATCCTTACAAATTCAGAGCTCGTACTGCCGAGTTTGTCAAGCTCGGTAACTCTGAGATGTGTTGAATTCAACTCTGGGACTTGAGGTTCCTCCAGCCTCTTAGAGTTGCCAAGGTTGAGAAACACAGCCATATTGCAATAAATAAGAAGTGAAAATGTCCATTTTTGTTCTCAGGTTGAGAGAACGTCATCTCCAACTCACTGGCCTTCAGAGTTTTTCAACTCTGCTTTCTGACCCTCCCAGAATTCCTGAAACCCCAAAGAACAAAGCACAAACCCTTGTTTAAGAAGGCATAACTTTCAAAAGTTGCTTCCCTTTTCGACTTCCTGTCCTGATTCATCAGCTAAACCCAAGATCCCAAATTTCCAACTCCGAAGTCCAAGGGGTGATTGACTTTTAACTCATCCGATATATGGTTGAACGCATTCTACAACCCCAATGCTTTATTAGTGGTCAAAAATCTATATATATATTTTTGCATGTTTCCCCGTGTGTTTTAACAAAAGCGTGTGTTTTATTTTTGTGTCGTCTTTCTCCGTCTCTCTCTCTTTTCGAAAATGTGATTCCTTGTAGAGAAAAAACACCATCTCAACCACTCCAGAGGTTTTAGCCTTTTGGCACTCCTAGCGCTCCCCCACAAACCCCACAACCAGTCCTTCCCCCAGAGAACTGGGGGGCTCAAGCCCGAAAGATCCCCGAATCCTTTAGGACGAAGGTTTGAGAGCTCCCTCCACGGGGAAATGGAGGCCATTCGCCTGATTCCAGATCTCGACGTCCACAAAGGTATTCTGGAGAGCGAGGAGAAAGGGATCAAAATGGAGCAATTGCTTTATCTCTTCTTTCGCTGTCTCCAGAACCCAAAAACCATCTTCACCGGAGGCCTTTCTCAAATCTTGCTCTCTGTTTTAACAAACCCACTCTTCTGACGCTCGCTCTGGAGATTAACCGACACGCTACTAACAGCCCTTCAGAGAGAGTCAAGCTCATTCCTATTCATGTTAACGTTCTACACTCCCCGTGTCCTCCGATTAACTTGCCCTCTTGAGCTGTTTCTTGGGAAGGAAAGGCTGGTTCTTGAGTACCTTGCTTTGGAGGATTCCTTAAATATTTTGTGAGCCTGAAAAAGCAGAAATCCTTTGGCTTGGAAGCTCCTGCTTTGCTTTCCCAACTGTCAGTTGGATATTGAGAGCTCAGCCATATGTGGTCCCACTTGATGTCTTTGTCGATTATCATCTCAGAGGTGGATTTTTCCTGGAATTAAGAGCAACATTTTTTTAAAAAAAGGAATTGAGTGAAGACCAGCAAAGTCCCTTCTTGTGAGTTGGAGGCTACATAAATTTGATTTAGAAATAAAATCGACCAAGCTAGTTTGCTTTTCTGGTCATAAAATCCAGGAATTCTCCTTACAGGCCAGTTCTTTGGCCCTTTCCATTTAAATTTCCAAGAATGCTAACACTGAATAAACAAGTGAGGGCTTTCTAATCCAGGCCAGCCTCTCTTTCTGTCCTTTCTTTGAAGCTCTAATGTTGGCTATCTTGTATAAGATTCAGAAATCGGTCCCTCAAGGTATGTTCCCAAAAATCAAAGCCGCAAGGAAGGTCAATCTGGTGACTTTCCCAGGGGGGTGGCTGGGACAGCTCCTCCTGGACCTTCCATGGTCTGAGAAGAGCCGTTGGCCAAACATTTTGTAGGACTGATGTGGACAGACCAAGGGAGTTTTCTTGAACCTTCTCCTGGATGGTCCACCCTCTTAGGAGTTGACAGAGATGGAAAGCTGAGATGTTTTGCAGAAACCCAACAGGATCTCTTTCTGCTCTTAGTTGCGGCCAAGTGGTGGGGAACCAAAAGGATTGACTACGCTCTCTACTGCCCGGATGCGCTGACCGCCTTCCCCACAGTTGCCTTACCACATCTCTTTCACGCCAGTTACTGGGAATCCACAGACGTGGTCTCCTTCCTCCTCCGACAGGTGAGAATCCTCCTGCCAATATCTTTTTCATCCCTCCGCCGAGTGCCAGTTGCCCATCATGGACTTGGCGTGGGTCCTGGACTCCTTGGCCGTTTGTACACCGGCCTTTGTGGGTCGTGCCAAGGTTGGGAGCCCGTTCATCAGACGTGGCACCTCAGCATGGGCAAACTCCATTTCATCTTTTAGGTGATGCGTCATGAAAACAGTAGCATCCTTGAAGTGGACGGGAAAGAGGTCTCCGTCTTCACGCCTTCCAAACCCAGGGAGAAATGGCTCCGTAAACGGACTCATGTCAAGCTACGGGTGGGTTGCGTTGGTTACCGCCATCGGCCAGGGCCCCAAATTGGGGGAGGGAAGGGGACAGAGAAGGACGACAAAGCCCCAAATTACAACTATGTGTTAAGAACCAGGACGAGAATGGTACCATTAATTCAGAGAGTAGGAGTAATAATATAACTGTCTGACTGTGCAGATTAAGAACAATAAAATGCATAATGGAGTGCCTTTTTAAAAACTACACATCCAATTCAAGCCCTTTTGTTAGATTACTTTGATCTGGATTTTCCCACTGAGCAAAGGGATGAGGGTGAAGTATTTAATTTATATAAATTCAATGCCTATTCGGTTCAATTTTGGGGTACGGTGAAAACCTGGCAAAAAAGCAGCCCGCAGAGTCAAAAGGGGATAAATAAATCCTGAATTTTTGATTGCCAGCGAAACCCGATTCTGACAGTCGAAGGATCTTTACTGAGGTTTTTTGAGGTTTTTTTTTTTTTAAAAAAACAACAACTATGAAACAGTTTTGACCACGATGGCCGCGATCAAGTGAATAAGAAAAAGGGTACAAGATCGAGTTGCAACATGCAGAATCTGTTGTATAATCCAATATTTGTCAGTGCTGTGAAGGGTGGGGGCAGGGAGGACCAATAGCCACCCTGAGAGTTGAATTAAAAAGCAAATTTAAATCAATGCATCCACTCAGCCAGGCAGGAGAAAGCGCCCGCTTCAGTTAAATAAAGCTCCGTGCACAAAAATGATTAATGGCCATCCCAGACTCATTGATCAACCTGCATCAACCAACCAACAAGGCACGTCAAGATTTGTGTATGCGTGGGAGACGTTGAAAATACAAAATAAAATTGCGCATCTGCCGTGGTGGGAATCGACGGGAATCCCAAATCCGACGTTGGCTCCTTCTCTTCTTTTGGCAGAATGTCACCGCCAATCACCGAATCAACGACGCCGTAGCCAACGAGGATCGGCCCCAAGTGTTAAACGGGAGGTTCATGTACGGCCCGTTGGACATGGTTACGCTCACGGGGGAGAAGGTGAGTTGCTGATCTGACCCCGCGAAAGCTCGAAAAGGTGGCAGGTGTGTGGAACCAAAGAGGGCTTGGTTCTACAAGATCTCATGCCCCAATTGTAATGGCTCGTGTAGCAGTGGGCATTTGTAGAATATGAAAGGATTGGTATGGGTTGTAGAGGTCCTTCAGACCAACCTTCTAGGAGGTCCATCTATCTTAAAGTTGTCGAACATTGATCATAGAGCTCTCAATCTCGAATGCAGCTGGCTGGGGAATTCTGGGAGTTGAAGTCCGCCTATCTTAAAGCTGCCAAAGTTGAACACCTACGTTCTAGATCTCTCCGTCAACCAGAATGGAAGTTAGAGCTAAGGAGAGCTACGTCCGCAAGATCAACAAGCAGCCTGAGGCCAGATGTAGCCAAAAGAAAGTGATGTATGGACTTCCAACTCCCAGAAATCACCAGCTAGCTCTTACCAGCTGAGGAATTCCGGGAGTTGAAGTCTACCTATCTTCAAGATGCCAAAGGTAGAGAGACATTGATCTTTAGAGGCCTCAATCAGCCAAAATTGAAATTGGAGCGAAGTAGAGCCACATTTGAAGGATGAACGAGAAGCCTTATGCTGGATTAACCAAAAGAAAGTGGAGTGGGTTCTACTGCACGGGGGCTGTTCATGTTTTCTTCCCCCTCCCCAGTATAAACTCAGTGGATTCACCCAAGAGAAAATAGTCCGTACGACCAGTGGTGGGATTCAAATAATTGAACAACCGTTTCTCTGCCCTAATGACGTCTTCCAATAACCAGTTCACCAAATTGCTAAGAAAGTTAACAACCGGTTCTCCCGAAGTGGTGCGAACTGGCTGAATCCCACTCCTGCGTACAACCATGGGATTCAAACTCAGATGGTGCCGGGCCTAATCTAGATTCCAGATTTCTTCTTCTTTGCGCTTCAGGTGGACATTCACATCATGACTCAGCCCCCCTCAGGAGAGTGGGTTTATTTTGACACAGAGATCACCAACAGCAGCGGACGGGTTTCCTACACGATTCCCGAGCAGAGACGGCTGGGGATCGGGGTATATCCTGTCAAAATGGTGGTGAGGTATGTTCTTGTGCACGGAGGTTTGCCAGGGAATGGTACAGCCGTGGAGCGGTAGGTAGGAAAAATAGCCTTGAAAATCACAGATGTGGCAACTGAGGTCCCCTGATTATGGATTAGCTATTGGCGTCTTCATCCTTAATCGAAGGCAGAGAGCGATGATTTATCTTTTAGATTTCTGTTCTGTTTTTGCCCTTTGAAGGCAGATGCATAATTACGACAACTTAAATAAGGAATAATATTTAAATAACATAATATGGGACGTAGCGGCTAAGTCGCTGAGCTTGTCGATCGAAAGGTTGGCAGTTCAGCAGTTCGACTCCCTGGGGCTATGTAACGGGGGGAGCTCCCGTTACTCGTCCCAGCTTCTGCCAATTTAGCAGTTCGAAAGCAGGTAAAAAATGCAGGTAGAAAAATAGGGACCACCTTTGGTGGGAAGGGAACAGAGTTCTGTGCAGCCTGATCATGCCGACCACATGATCACGGAGACGTCTTCAGACAGCGTTAGCTCTTCGGCTTTGAAATGGAGATGACGCACTGCCCCCTAGAATCAGGAACGACTAGCACATATGTGCGAGGGGAACCTTTACCTTTACCTAAATAAGGAAAAAATAAATAATTATTCAGTCTCTCAGCAAAGATTAAGGTGTCTATTCGGTTAAGCCTCAGGTAGCTTCTGAACTTAACTTTTGTCTTCATGTCCCCCCTTCTGACCAAGGACGTTGAAAAATGGCAGGCATGCTGTCGATCTTAATTTGGAAGGATGAAACCCATCAAAACTGTAGCACAATTCCTAAAATAGGCAAAATACAATTTAATTTTCCTCAGAAGACTGACTGGGGGTGGAGGAGGAATACATCGGGGACTACCGTACCTATATCATGAAATCAATATTCACTCTCTTTTTTTCTTTCTCCTTAGGGGTGATCACACAAATGCAGATAGCTACATAACCGTTTTACCACGGGGGACCGAATTCGTGGTCTTCAGCATCGATGGTTCTTTCGCAGCCAGCGTCTCCATCATGGGCAGTGACCCCAAAGTCAGGGCTGGAGCAGTTGACGTCGTACGGTAGGAGGGCTCAGCAGTGGGGAGCATTTGTGCCAGGAAGTTGTACTGAAGAGGGGGATTTTCATGCTGCTGGTTTCGTGTCGGAAGCTTCAAGGCACTTCCGGGTTGAAATGATTAGCCAGTGACATCACTGTTGCCGCGGAGATGCCCAGTTGCGGGCTCCTTTCACGTCCCCTCTGACGTGATACCTATTTATCTACTCACGTTTGCATGCTTTCAAACTGCTAGGAGCTGAAGCGAATGACGGGAGCTCACCCTATCTCACAGCAGCACACAGGTCTCAAAACACTTGCTGATTTTCCACCCGTTGTTCTAACCACCGCCTTGCTCCTTATGGGATACTATAAGAATAGTAGGAACATTTTTTCCAATTGAAAACGAGAGGCCCTTTTCCGTGTTTATATTCTCGCTGTGTCTCTCCCCTCCGCTCATCCGTCTTTCTCATTTTCCCCTTCCTTAGGCACTGGCAAGAGCTTGGCTACCTCATTATCTACGTCACGGGCCGGCCCGACATGCAGAAGCAGAGAGTAGTTGCCTGGTTAGCACAGCACAACTTCCCTCACGGGATTGTCTCCTTCTGCGATGGGCTGGTTCATGATCCCTTGAGGCACAAAGCGAACTTCCTGAAGTCTCTAGTCACAGACGTAAGCAGGATTCACAGCGGGTTAAAGCAGTCGCGGTCAGGCTGGGCCGAGTCCCATTAAATGCGCCTTTGAGAATCTGGGACCTTCTGATCAGAAATTGTATTGCAAGAAAGTTAACTGTCAAGAGATAAGTGTAGCAATACTATCAACGTTGTTTTCCAACAAAGAGGCCAAGAGCTGTTGCTGGTCTTTTAAACCTTATGGGAGGGGCCAATCATCTCTTGGCCTTACTCCTGAGTCGTCCTCTTTGCTGTAGTTGCTCTTGCCTTCTCTGGCAGCTCTTCTCATATGTGTACTAGGAACAGGCTCCTCCTGTTTCTCTGCCTCTCTAATGTCAGCCTCTGGAAGCTCCGGAGTCAGCACATCACTCCCCGATGGCCCTGGCCCCATCTCTGCCTCCGACACAGAGCCCTCATCCGGGCCTTCCCCAGCCTCCAGGCCTGGCCCATGTTCTTCCTCAGCCTCCTCACTGTCCGACTCCGCTGCCAGCTCCGCAGGCTGCTGGCGGACCACAACATTAACAAGCCATTATGAGGAAAAAAAAAATAAAAATCCAGAGATTGCTGAGTATCAAACGCGAGCCCTGTTTATAATGAAATCAAGATTCACATTCTTGGGGGGCGGATTATTATTTAAGATTTCAAAATATAGAAGAAGAGAAGGGAGAGAATTTGGCGGAAGTGTTGGAGGAAACCAAGGAAAAGATATTAAATGGGATTGACGAGATATACAGAGTACGTACTCGATACGCAATGAGAAATAAATTGCCAAGAGAGGTGCATGAATTGGTTTCATAGTACAGGTAGTCCTCGACTTACGACCACAATTGAGCCCGAAATTTCTGTTGCTACCCAAGAGAGTTGTAAAGTGAGTTTTGCCCCGTTTTACGACCTTTCTCATCGCCATTGTTAAGTGAATCCCTGCAGTTGTTAAAATTAATAAGATGGTTGTCAAGCGAAACTGCCTTTCCCATTGACTTTGTTTTGTCAGAAGGTTGCAAAACAGGATTACGTGACCCCGGGACAATACAACCTTCATAGACATGAATCAGTTGTTGAATGTTGATTCTGTGACTATGGGATGCTGCAATGGTCGTAAATGTTACATATCAGGCTGACAACTGATTGGGTTTTTTCTTCTTCTTCTTCTTCTTCTTCTTCTAGCTGGACATGAAGATCCATGCGGCCTATGGCTCCACCAAGGATGTCTCCGTCTACACGTCCATCAACCTGCCCCCTCCACAGATCTACATTGTCGGGCGGTCCACCAAAAAATTACAGAACCAATGCCAAGTAAGATCCTTTTATTGTAAGGGGTCCAGCCCAGGGGTGAAATTCAACCGGCTTAGACTGGCTCGAGCGAACTGGTAAGGACGATTTGAATCGGTTCGCCGAACTGGTAAAAACCACCCCTGGTTGGCCCTGCCCACACCCGCCCGCTCGCCGCTCACCCCTTCCGGTTGCTCGACCCGCCCACCCACCCCCACCCTATAGGGAGAGACTTTTCTTCCTCCAATCACAGCGGAGCTGCTGCAGCCTATCCCTTTAAGGTACTTTGATCCCCAGGGGCCCAGGGGGGACCATAAAGGGAGCACCAGCTCCACTGTGAATGGAGGGAGAAGCATTCACTATGATCCCTTCTCGTGCTCATACACACATTTTTTCCTACCGGGTTCTGCAGGCGTGGCTTGGGGGGGGTGTCATATGACTGAGTGGGTGTGAAATGTTACTACCGGTTCACTCGAACCGGTAGAAAAAAACATGATTTAAAATTTTTTTAAAAAGGTTCAGACAATCGCAGCTGATCTTAGGCAGATCAGATCAGGCAGTGCTTGGGGGCAGAGGGAAGAGCTGCAGATCGGACAACCGGCGTATAAAAAAAGTCTCAGCCCACAAAAGGGTGGGAGGCATTTTGGAAGGGACCCTCCCTAGGAAAGAAGAGGGAAAAAAACACTTCTTGTCCGGACTTTCAAAGGGAAAACAGGATTGTGTTCATCAGATACGGGAAGAAGAAACACAGGGAAAGACAAGACTTCGGTGACAGTGATCGAGAGAGGCAGGGGAGGAAAAGGGCTAGGAAGCCTATCTGTAGGTAGGTCATCTGAAAGAGAAGTTCTTTGACCCTAAGCCCCAAAATAAGGAGTTTTTGGTGTCTTTTGTCCCGTAGTTCATCACGGAAGGCTACGCATCCCATCTGGCCCAGCTGGAGTACACCCATCGCTCCCGGCCTGCCAAGAACACCACGCGGATGGCTCTCCGGAAGGGCAGCTTCGGACTCCCGGGCCAAACCGAATTCTTGCGCAAGAGGAACCACCTGCTGCGAACCATCTCCTCTCAGCCCACTGTGTCCGCTGGCCACAGTGCCGGTTACCGTCCAGAGCGGACGCAAAGCCACTCCGAAAGTCACCAGGAAAGGGACCGAGAACGCACCCAACGGAGTATGAGTCTCGCCACGGGCTGCTGGGGACGAACCACGGTCCCAAGGCTCGAACCGGGCAACTTGGGTCAGAAGTAGAGGCGTCCGAGGCGCAATGATGGCCGGCTGCACGTGCCCAGGTGGCGGAAGCAGGGGCCACAACAAGGCCAGCAGCGTGGGGCTCATGGGCAAATATGGTGCTACTCATTGCCGGTGGGGCGGCGGTGACCTGGCCAGGAGCAACCGAGCGATTTGGGTTTCCTTTTTCCCCCGCCCACAAAACACGCAGGCCTGGACAGTGGCAGGGACATTGGGTACGTGGAGCGCAACCGGGCGGGCTGAGAACAGGAGCCGCCTTCTGCCACCGAGATGTCAAGCTGCCTCATCTTCAAGATCCACCGTTTTCCGGCTCTTATCCAGGGTTAGAGATTGTAAATATGTGCCTGTCCAGATTCTTCTTAGCCATCCGTCAAAGACGAGAAGACACACCGGTACCGTTGGGAGCAGCAGCAGCAGCAGACCAGGTTGTGGGTAGGAGGGCTGTGTGTTCATGTAGGCCGGCCCTGGGACCCGGACACGAGGAAGGGGACACCGCCAACTATCACTGCTTTACAATCACAACGCCACTTGATTCATTCATGGAGACTCGAAGGACTCGGGACCCACAAGCAGAAGCCACAGCTCCAGGGCCGAGTCACGTTCAACGGCTTCCACTCGGCGACATAAAGCTACATGTATGATGCGCACACCATTGGATAGGTGGTTTATCAAGGCTGGTTCTAATTAAAGGATTTTTTTTAAAAAAAAAAAAAGTAAGAGTTTGGAAGTTGACGGATTGCACTAATTCAGGAAAAAAAAAAAGCGTGTAATAGGCAAAAGATTCTGCTCCTTCAGAGGGAAGGGAGCACGATTTGGGCACGACTTGCAGAAGGCAGTTCCTGCCGTACGATTCGGAGCACCTGGGAGGTGGCGATCTTTGCTCAGCCTAAAACCGAAAATAAAAAAAAGAAGCTACGTCCAAATTCTTCCCAGCCCTTTTTAGATTGTTGTTGTTGTTGTTATTTATTTATTTATTCCCCTCCACCCCCTGCCGTTAAGACTGGAATCCGTTTCTTGTTTTTCCAACATTAAGAGTAGCGGCTTTCGGCGGAGGTTGTAAACTCGTTTTTTTTTTAAACTGTAGATACGTCGCAACTGCACACCTCACAGTTTTTAGGTTTGGCACTGAGAAACTTTTAGGAAGAAGGACTGGGATGGAGGGGGTTTTTTTGGTTTTCTTCTCAAGCGGCTCCTTCCGTTTAGCGTTGTTAAGCCACGGCACGTCTGTCTGTACTTAACAGACGCACAACACAGCAGGCTGAGCGAAGGGAGGGATTTTCCCAACCCTTTCACCCTTTCGATATTTCAGGAAGATTTTTTTAAACGTTCAAATTAGCCGTTTGTAGACACGTCAATCTGACCAGGGAGATTAGGAGAAGGTGTATTTTCTCCCCCGCTTGGAAGAGATTTGATGCTGAAAAATAAGAGGATCTCTGAGCAGAAGTGGATTTCTAATACAGGGGGTTCTTGGTTTACAACCGTTCATTTAGTAACTGTTCGAAATTACAATGGCACTGGAAAAATGGGACTTACGGCCATAACTCATACTTACGAACCGTCAAAGTATCAGGGGTGAAATCCAGCAGGTTCTGACAGGTTCTGGAGGACCGGTAGTGGAAATTTTGAATAGTTCGGAGAACCGGGAAATATCACTTCTGGCTGGACCCGGAGTGGGGTGGGAATGGAAATTTTGCAATATCCTTCCCCGGGAATGGGGATTTTGCAATATCCTTCCCTGAGGAGTGGGGAGAGAATGGGGATTTTGCAGTATCCTTCTCCAGGAGTGGAGTGGGAATGGAAATTTTGCAATATCATTCCCCGGGGTGGGGAGGGAATGGAGATTTTGCAATATCCTTTCCCTGCCACACCCACCAAGCCACACCACGCCTACAGAACCGGTAGCAAAAAAAATTGGATTTCACCACTGCATAGTATCTCTGTTGTCACGTGATCAAAATCCGCCCGCTTGGCAGTTGGTTCGTATTTGTTGACGGCTGCAATGTCTCGGAGTCACGGGATCCCCTTTGGCTACCTCTTCTGATGAGCAAAGCCAACGGGGGAATCCTGATTCATTTAACAACCATCGGACTGACAACTACAGTGATTCGCTGAACAACGGCGGCCAGAAAGATAGCGCGAAATGGGGCAAAACTCACTTAACCACTGTCCCGCTTAGCAACTGAAATCTGGGTGGGTGAGTATGTCGATTGTGGTTGTTAAGTCAAGGACCACCTGTATTGTCCTCCTGCTTCTCTGTTTGTTTACATGGCTTGATTTTGAAAGATTTTGGGGGGGGGGAAAGGACGGGGGGGGGGGGGGGCGTCTGCCTGTTCACCCTTTTTTGTCTCCCCTTTTTTGCAATCCAGATTTTCTAGCTGCTGCCAAGGGGGCATTTCAGCCTGTTCTAAAGCCCCGTCCACTTCACGGGGAGGTCAGCCTTATCTTTACTGGCCTGCGATGCTGCTACTTTTTTAAATATTTGCTCGGATATCTCCTCTTTCGCCTCCGACTGCTTGTATCACTCTTATCTCTGCAGGTGCAACTTCGTCCATCTTTCCTTCCTTTCCCCCCTCCATCCCCACCACTCACCCCAGACCGATGAGATGTCCGAACTCCCCCAGACTGTTGCACTGTGAAATGCAGCCTTTTTCCGACCACCGCAAAGCTTCGGTCGGTTGCCTGGGTATTTTTCTTTTTTTTTTTCAAATGAACAAATGCTTTTTTTATAATATACCCCCTTTGAAACTGTGGGGTGCACCTTTTTCCGGCGTCTGTTTCACTCCCCTTGAAACATGCCGGAGTAAAATTCACTGTACAGAGTGTGTGGTTTAGGAAGCCATATGGTATGATCCTAAACAGTCTTTATTATCCAACTGCGAAAAGGACTGGAATGTTTCTTACTACTTTAGGGATTTTTTTTCTTCCCTCTCTGGTTGAGCCTAGCGCTTCGGGATGGACGTTGAAAAACCAGGAGTGAGAGAGGAGTCCAAACGGATTTGCATTTCTGCTCTGTCTCGTCCGATCATCGCGTCTCCGTTATGTCGTGCAAAAAAAAAAAAAAGACACAACAAAAAATTGCCAAGGGAACCACACTGTCTGGGGACTTCATCCTGTCCTTCTTGGCTCTTGCACAACCCCTCAGCCAAGACGCAACCTGATGTGTAAACATTTTGCAAACTCTAAAGAAAAAACAACAACAGTACGTCTCATGTCTCTGTGTGCATTTGCAAAATGTGTGTAAAAAGAGAAAAGTCAGCGTAAAACTCAAAATGTTTTTTGCAAACTTGGCGATTTTAACATGGGGGACGGGATCTCAACATGCTGGCTGGGGGATTCTGGGAGTTGAGATCCACCCATGTTGGCTGGGTGGGGAATTCTGGGAGTTGAAGTCCACAGATCTTAAAAGTTGGCCAAGGTTGGATCTAAAACATCTGTACTTGGAAAGTAAGGTAGAATTCGGTTTTATTTTTTCTCCCAACCCATCGGCCTGGATCCGAGGGGCTCCAACCTGGTCCAGTATTAAAAACCTGGCAATTCCCACCCATCACCCTCTTAAGCCCCACGATAGCAGAAAGGTAGCTTGCAAAGGTAGCAGGCAAATCAGAATGAAAGCCTCCTCCTTTTCAATCCAGGCAGATCTCTTTGCCTTTTAAAACAGGAAAGCATTTCAGTTTGAAGAACGTTTATCGTGTCCTACAGCGAAGCCGAAGGGACTTGGCAAGTTCGGTTCCTGCCGGATTTAGCCAAAAGCTGCTTTTCTGGGAAACATCCCTCTCCTTTTAATGTCTCCACCATCACGACAGGGTTCCCATTAGCCCTCTTTTTTTTCCTACCTGTTCTAATGTCATCTTTAAACATGTCCAGTTGGCACCGAGAAAAGGAAAAATCTAACCATTAAGGATACAGGGTGGTAAAATTATTTAAAAACAAGGTTGACTCAGCCTTCCGTCCTTCCGAGGTTGGTAAAACGAGGACCCAGATTGTTGGGGGGCAAGAGGCTGACTCTGTAAACCGCTTAGAGGGGGCTGGAAAGCACTGGGAAGCGGCATATAAGTCTAAGTGATATTGCCTTGCCTTGCCTTCCTTCCTCCCACCTTCCCTCCCTTTTAACCTTCTTTCCTTTCCTTTCCTTTCCTTTCCTTTTCTTTCCTTTCCTTTCCTCCTTGCTTTCCCAGTGATTAGAATGCAGTATCACAGGCTAATTCTGCCGACTGCCAGCAGTTCGATCCTGACCGGCTCAAGGTTGACACAGCCTTCCATCCTTCCGTAAAATGAGGACCCAAGTTGTTGGGGGCAATAGGCTGACTCTGTAAGCCGCTTAGAGAGAGCTGCAAAGCACTGTGAAGCGGTATAGAAATCTAAGTGCTATTGCTATTCCAGGTGGAAATGCACAATTGGGACGTTTGAGGATCTGGCTTAGCCTGTTCCATCTTTTTGTTTTGTTTTGTTCCTATGTTTCTGTGTGCATGATACTGTCGGACGCCTTGCTGTTGTCGTACGTGACCGCCATCTTCTCCCCTGCCACCTGAGTGTGCTTTGTATCCAGTTACCAGTTGTATGTGAACCTCTAATTAAAGGAACTGGGAAGGCTTATTCACCGTCTTCATTTCTTTGCAAAGGCATGCCGGGAACCGGATCGGAAATACCCCGGGGCCTCTTTTAACCGGTGTCCATTTCCTTCGGTGGGCTTCATTGGGTTCAACTTTCCCTGGCACTCCCTAGATTTTTTTTTTTTTGCAAATATAGCTAGTTCCCATGTAACTTTTTCTTCGCCAGTCAAAAATAATCAAGGTGTCAACTCGCAAAGCATTCCTGGTCTGCTCTCGAGTTGCCATGGGGAGGAAAGTGGGGGAGGGCTGACGGAAACAGTTCAGCAGCCACGTTCAAAAGCACATTCCATGCACACCTTCTTCAAGGTTGGAGCTCAGATTACCAGAACCAGGCATGCGAGGCGTGGTTTCTACAGCCTGTGAAAGTGCCTCGTTGGAGAAAGTGATTTATGACACAGACTGAGAGGAGGGGGGAAACAGGATCAGAGTTGAGCTGTAAATTACGTGCAGCAGAGTTGACTTAACCTGGGAAGTTGCTGACATGTTGCTCCTAATAAATAACTGGATTTCTTTTGAAACTTGGCTCGAGGCTCATAAGTTAATTAGGGCATCTGTCGGAACCCTGACACAGGATGGGTTTCAAACAAAGGGAAGTCTCTTTGTTTTAAGCACTCTCTGTGCCTCAAATCAACTCATTGCAATATCTTGGAAACTTTTGGTATTGGTAAGGATGCAGAAACAGAAGGATGGCGCATTTGCAGCTTCTGCTACACCACTGAGGCCAAGCTGGAAAGCAGGCTAACAACTTGGATCTTGAGTGATGATTATTATTCGTGGGTAAAATAATTTCATTGGTGTTGGTGGCAGGCCTTAATTTGGGAAGCCATCGCTTCTTCTGGTACATCACCAAGTGGTGGCCCATCCTTATCCAGAATTTAAACGTGCCAGAAAAATCCGGAGAACACACCCACTTCTGAGCATCTCTCCTCCTCCTAACTGACCAGAGGATGCCATCAATCCACTAAAGTTGTTTAGAAGACTGCTTTAATTAGTTAAATTAGCTACATCAGCACCCCGTACAAAGCATTTCCAGTTGGACATAGTATTGATCGCTTGGACAATTATTCTTTTAGCTTGGTGCTTGCAGTTTTGAAAAAAGAGAACGATGCATGCAATGGATACAATCCAGCCAATTTTTTTTTTAAAGAACATTCGAAGAGTTTCAAAGAATATTAAATCTGCCTTTAGTGGATGCTTTGGAAACCAACACGATTTCGGCACCTTTAGCTCTGCAGGACCAAATGCTCTGCAGAACTTTAAACACACACTTGACTATACCATATTTTCTCTTGAGCGTGCTTCTGTTTGATTTTCCCTTTGGGGTGAATTTAGCCTGGGCGGCCTGTTCCAAGAACGGATTAATAATTAACTGCTTGTAATGGGAGCAGAGTTTACATAAGCTAGCTCAGCAGCTGTTCGATTGCCAAAGGACGCTAAGAATTGGCCGGTGCGTGGTTCCACTGGGCCTGTGGGTAACCCAGTTTTTGTACTGGTAGGGCAAGATTGGAAACGGGAGGAATCGGAAAGGCGGGGGGGGGGGGAATGAGGAAATCTCTTGCCCGTAAGGAAGGTTATGTGCAAATGGCACAAAGTGGCTATCCAAGAATAAATGATTGACAAGGCTTTGAATGCTCTCTGGCCAAAGGAGGAGGATAGAAGAAGAGAAGGAAAAGGAGGATGGAAGAAAGAAGAAGAAGAATGAAAGAGAAGGAGCAAGAGAAAAATAAGAAGAGAAGGAGAGAAGGAGAGAAGGAGAGGAAAAGGAGAAGAATGAAAGGAAGAGAAGGGGAAGATGGAAGAGAAGGAGCAAGAGAAAGATAATAGAAGGAAAGGAGAGGAATGAAAGGAAGAGAAGGGGAAGATACAAGTAAGAGGAGAAAGTTAAGAAGGAAAGGAAGAGAAGATGGAAGGAAAAGGAGACGAATGAAAGGAAGAAGGAGTAAAGGAAGAAAGAGGAGAAAGAAAAATAAAAATAGAAAAAGGATGGAAGGAAGAAGAAAAGGAAGGAGGAGGAGGAGGAGGAGGGAAGGAGAAGGAGAAGGAAAGAAATGAAATGAAACCTGCAGCAACCAATGCAGAATTAAGCTAGCAGCTCAGGCACAGAGAGTAGGTTTTGCCAGACCTTCTTCTTACGAGCTTAGGAAGCTACAATGCCGTCCTTTGCCTTTCTCACGAGCAGTCAAATCCCACATCGGGGCTGAGCAACTGGCAACTTTCCAGACAGTCTCTGGGCTCCAACCAACTGGGAAGGACCAACCTTCTCCCACAGCCAAAAAATCCAGAATCGGCCCTCTGGAAACCCTAAAACAGCTCTTTTAACCTTTCCTCGACTGGCTGGGAAATCACTGCAGCCTTAAAAAGGTGAGCTGAGTCACCGAGGCAGCCGGAGAACTGGGCCAGAAGGCCTCATTCCAGATTCCCCTGAAGCTCTTGGGCCTCCTTGTTTTGTGTGTGTGAGTGGCGTAGTGCTAGGTGGATTGAAGGAGACCCTGCGTTCTGTTCTCCTCCTGCAGCTGGACCAGGGAGAGGATGAGTCATTCTCCCTCCTGGTCAGGAGCAGCTGCGGGTAGCCCAGTCTCTGATGGAAGGATTGCATCGCGGTTTTTCTCAGCGTGATGGGGAAGTGGTTCCTTTGCTCAGCTTCCCTCCCAGATCGCCAAAATACAGAACGAGGGAGACCGGCGGCCTCTTGAGCTGCAAGGAATCCCATGGAAAGCGCCCCCCCCCAACTGTCAAAAGCAGCCTTGAATTTGATCTCCTGCATCCTCCTCTCTCTCTTCCTCTCTCTCTTTTTTTTCCCCCCAAGAAGAACCTGGTACAATTACATTCCCTAACCTCGACCCGATGGGGAGCTGAAGAAGAGCAGCTGGAGTGACCCCTGGGGAAAACCAAGGAGCCCTTGGGGCAGAAGGGGAGGGGGAGAGACACCCCCCTCCCAAGGCTCGGGCAACTGTGGCCCGTGCCTGCCTTTTGGCACCCGGACATGGCTCGTTGGGGCAAAACCTTTGCAAACAGCCAGGAGATCATCTTTTGTCGTTTTCAGGGGTCCGTCCCGTTATTGCAACATCCCCATTTTCATCTGAAAGGAAAGTCCATCGCCCCGACTGGCTTGCTGCAAAAGGAGAGGATGATACAGGTTAGGGCAGGGGTCTCCAAACTTGGCAACTTTTAAGACTTGTGGACTTCAACTCCCAGAATTCCTCGGCCGGCAAAGTTAAGCTGGCTGAGGAATTCTGGGAGTTGAAGTCCACAAGTCTTAAAGTTGCCAAGTTTGGAGATCCTTGGGTTAGTGGGAGCTTGCCAGAGACAAAGCGAAGTCCTGTTTAGCCGCCCTCCACCATTCCCACCCACCCAGGGACTCCCTGAAGACGGCAAACTCCAGAGGGTGGACTGATTTCCTTGAAAGCTATTAGGTTTCCAGTGGCAGTGAAAATAAAGGGAGAATTGAATTGACGTCTGTCAATCAGCAGTGTCGCACCCCGCACTTTAGCTAAGACTGATGTTCGGGGTGTCAAAGGTGCTTTTTCCAAAAAAGGCAACTGGCTTTTTGTTTTTCCTCAAAGAGGTTTCGCTTCTCGTCCAAGAAGCTTCCTCCGTTCTGATGGAAGCTCTCTTCTTCCTTCCATCAGAACGGAAGAAGCTTCTTGGATGAGAAGCGAAACCTCTTCGAGGAAAAAACAAAAGGCCAGTTGCCTTTTTGGAAAAAGCACCTTTGGGACAACTGTGTGACTTGGGTGACTGAGAATCTCCATAGATATGACACTCAGGGTGTTTTGAAGTGCAGATAACGGAGACGGAAACCAAGTGTCTCGTCTGAGGAAATTTCAACAATATGGGCTATGAAATGAGAACTTCCGAAGAAAAACGCAGCCGGTTTTTAGCTATGAAGTCAATGACCCTCATCCTATCCAAACAGGCCAGCTGCATCCAAGCTTGTTGTGGTAATAGAGTGTCACTCACCTTGTTTATTTCTTTATGCCTGTCTTTCGTGACAATCTCCTCCAGGATCTCTCCGTCGCCCTTAATAAGTCTGCAAGAGAAACACCTCGACTTGCTCAAACAATAGATGTTATCCGTAAACATGTATCATCATCATCTTCATTTAATGGCCCCATAATCCCTTGCGGGGTGGAGTCTGGGCAACTGAATGGAGCTAGCAGTGTGTTTTAATGGCCGGATACCCTTCCTGTCGCCAGTACAGAGTTTTGTTCAGCAGATATATTCTCACAGTGTGCCCAGAGAAAGAAATATCTGCCTCTACCCAGGATTGAACTCACAGCCTCCTGATTGTGAGGCTAGAGCTCCACCTCTAGGCCACCGCACTAGCTTTCTTCTAAATAAGATCAGGGAAAGCTTGATTCTACAGATTTTGTAAAATTATTACAGGGAAGGAATTGAGCGGTGCAGTGGCCTAGAGATGGAGATCTCGCCTCACAATCAGGAGGCTGTGAGTTCGATCCTAGGTAGTGGCAGATATTTCTCTCTCTGGGCATGAGCAATTATCTGCTGCGAACTCTGCATTGGCGACAGGAAGGGCATCCGGCCAGTAAACACTCGGCTCCATTCAGTTGCCCCGACTCCACCCCGATGCAAGGGATTACGGGGTCATTAAAAGACGAAGATTACAGGGAAGGAATCTCCATTTAAGCCAGCCGCGCTGCTCCTACCTCATGCGGCCTGTTTCGGGGTCGAGGACTTTCCGTATAACGCTCTGGCGGGCGTCCCATTCCTCTTTTGTCATCGGCTTCATGGCCTGGATGCGGAACTTCTGCTCGTCCGTGAGGGCTGAAAGAGGAACCTCCGTCAGAAAAGAAAGGATGCTATTTAACTCTTCAACACAGACGATGCTCTGCATTCTACCCCACAGGGAGAAAGGACCCAGATTTTTCAGTCTGCATGGATGGGGAAAACCCTGTTCATCATGAAGAAGGGAAGGGAAGGGAAGGGAAGAAGGAGAAAGGGAAAAGGGAGGGAAGGAAGGAAGGGAAGGTGGGAGGAAAGGAATGAAGGAAGAAGAGAGGGAGGAGGAAAGGAAAAGGAAGGGGAGAGAGGCAGAAAGAAGGGAAAAGGGAGGAAGGGAGGGAAGGGAGGGAGGGAGGAGGAAAGGAAAGGAAGGTAACAGAGGCAGAAAGAAGGAGAAAGGGAAAAGGAAGGGTGTGAGGAAAGGAAGGAAGGGAGGAGAGGGAGGGAGGAGGAAAGGAAAGGAAGGGGACAGAGGCAGAAAGAAGGGGAAAAGGAAAAGGGAGGGAGAGAAGGAAGGAACGAAGGAGGACCTGTTTTATTTTATGAAAGCCTCTCAATTGTTCCTCCAACCCTCTTTTTTGGAGAATTTTTTTCCAGGCTTGCTGTAACTGAGTTTACCAAGGCCAGCCTTACCTGGTCCGGAATCCGAGCCAGCCTCCTTCTGCCACTGGTCCAGCGAAGGGCCGGGGGCCTCTTCCTTCTTACTTCCCCCCTCCTCTTTTCCCCTCTCTTTCTTGGCTTTCTTCTTCTTCTTCTTCTCTTTTCGTTTTTTCCGCTTCTTGTCTTTCCCTTTGGACGCCTTCTTCCTCCTCTGCTTTTTCTTTTCGGGTTTGGCCTTTTCGTCGCCGGACTCGTCCGAAGAGGCACTGGAAGAGGAGGCCGATTTGGAAGAGGAGGAGGAGGAAGAAGAGCCGGTCTCGGAGGAAGAGGAGCTGGCCTTCCTCTTCCTTTTCTTCTTCGTTTTCTTCTTCTTTTTCACTAGAAGCCAACACAGAACACAAGATGAACAGGGGCTCCAGAGGACAATCGTCCCCAACCTGGATAAAAATCCAGGAGATGTGATCCCACCGGCTTCATTTATTATTGTGTCGCAACAGAACCGCAAAAACTCATCACGAGGGTGGGGGGGGGGAGACGAAGCTGCGACTTCCAAACGAACGTTGGTGAAAAATGGAAGAAGGATGGGGACCTCTCCTCACCCTTCCATCTTGGTTCCCTGGCAGTTCAGAGAAGGCGTCCTCCTCGGCTTTGACTCGGTAAGCCAAGCCGGCTTTCCCTTCCTTAAAACTTCCCGGGAGTTCCACCAGGACTAGGAGCTTGAGGATTTTAACATTTGAAACAGGAAGCTTGGTCTCCCAGATGTGTTGGCGAATGCGATTGTCAGCCCTGGAAGCTATTTTTTCTTTGGCAAATTCTGTTGGCTAGTTGAAAAGACTATTCTCTTTGCCAGTCCTACCCAGACCCAACTTGTCGTGGAGACCATGCCTGAACAGAGCGAGCTGGGGAACTACCATAACTTCTTAAAACAGTGTGGGCTTTTCTGCAACCCTACAAATAAGATAATCGGTAAACACTCCTTAGTACAGGGGTTTAAGGCACCCTGTTATTAAGCTTATTAAGACCAGCTGCTTGCAATTACTGTAAGTTCGAATCTCACCAGGCTCAAGGTTGACTCAGCCTTCCATCCTTTCTAAGGTAGGTAAAATGAGGACCCAGATTGTGGGGGCAATAAGCTGACTTTGTATAAATATACAAAAGTATGAAGGCTATTGCTTAACGCATTGTAAGCCGCCCTGAGTCTTCGGAGAAGGGCGGCATATAAATCAAATTAAAAAAAAAAAAACACTGTTTCTCAACGACAGCCCCTTTAAGACGGGTGGACTTCAATTCCCAGAATTCCCCACCCACCCCCCTTTTCGGGCTGCCTTAAAAGCATGCCTGCGGACAGCAAGAACCAACATTCAGTCTACTATTGCATCTGCCACCACACCTGAGAGACCAAGCTTCCTGTTTCAAATGTTAAATTCCTCAAGTTCCAAGTCCTGGTGGAACTCCTGGTGTTGTGGCCCGCCAGCGGAACTGGCAGCAGATTCGGACAGTGAGGAGGTTGGGGAGGAACATGGGCCAGTCCTGGAGTCTGGGGAAGGCTCTGAGGAGGGCTCTGCGTCAGAGGCAGAGAGCGGGCCAGGGCCGGATGCCAGTTATCAGCTGCCTTCGGAGTTGGACATCAGTGAGGCAGACGAACAGCTGCAGCCTGTTCCCAGTGTCACATGCACAGAGCTGCCAGGAGAAGGGAACAGCTAAAGAACAAGGGTTGACTCAGGAGTAAAGCCACAGGTGGACGGTGAATGGCCCCTCCCAGAGGGAATAAAGAGGAGCGAAAGGGGAGTGGAGTTTGCAGGAGACAATTAATTTGCTTAATTAGTTCATGAGTCTCAGAGACTCCTTGCCAAGTTTTGAAGGTATCGGCCTGGCAGCTCTCCAAGCCAGATAAGGTCTGTGACTGTTAAATTCTCCCTGGAAAGACTTTGCTGGATGTGAATGAGAGGAATTCACAGTCACTTAATAAAAAGGGGGTTTTGTTGGGATAAGGAGTCTGCATCGTGGTTTGGGAACGCTTAGGTTAGAGGGTTTATGGAAGGGAAAGCCGGCTTGGCTTACCAAGTCAAAGCCAAGTTCCCTGACCCTGCCAGGGAGAGAACCAAGATGGAAGGGTGAGGAGAGGTCCCCATCCTTCATCTTTCAACAAGGCTCAATTGGAAGCCTCAACTGTGCATTTGTTAAGATTCACAGCCATACAAACCAGAGCTGCGATTTTGGGAAAATCTGGAGTATTTTTCTTTTTCCTCACCGTCTTTGGAAGAGGATAAACTCGGCCTGAATTCCTGGGGTTCAGATTCTTTTTTGCTTGCTGGGGATCGGCTTCTCCTCTCGCGGGAATCTTTGCTGCTCTTCCTCTTTTTTTTATCTTCCTCCTTCTCTCGTCGGCTCCGGGAATCACTTCGGCTCCTCCTGCGTTTCTTAGTTTGGCTGTGAGCCATCTTGCTCCTTGATCCTGTTTCAGACAGAGGGAATGCTTTTTTAACAACCCGCCAGCAGAATAACCATCACCATTGCAACCCTCTAGGAATGCCTAATTTGTAAAGATACAATATATAAAATTAAAAAGTATAAAATAATGTAAAGGAAGAGCGCAGTGGCATAGTGGTTAGAGTGCAGTACTGCAGGCTACTTCTGCTGATTGCCAGCTGCCTGCAATTTGGCAAATCAAATCTCACCAGGCTCAAGGTTGACTCAGCCTTCCCTCCTTCCAAGGTGGGTAAAATGAGGAGACCTAGATTGTTGGGGGCAAGATGCTGACTCTGTAAACCGCTTAGAGAGGGCTGGAAAGCACTGTGAAGCCGTATTTAAGTCTAAATGCTATTGCTATTGCTAAAATACGTAAAATATAATAAAAAAATATAACAATAGCCCACTCCTGCTATTCATCTCCAACTAAAACTTTCCTCTATTTTTTTTTTAAATGGAATTCTCATCTTGTAGATCTTTAAAAAATTTTTAAGCCATTTTTTCCCAGTTTCACTCAATTACTTCACTTAATCACTGGATTAATTTCCATTTCTTTTTACAGGTATTTTGTGGCCATGAGTTCCACAGGGCAACTCACTGTTATGTTAATTGCATCTGGTGTATAAAATATTTAGGTGGCACAACAGAGTTTCTTGCAAGTTTACGATCACATGAGGAAAACACATGTCCTTCTGGAAAGAGAAGGTACATTGTTTTTCTTTTTAAACTGGTTAAGATTTAAAGGGAGAAGCAGAGGGAAGGACACCAACTGAATTGATGCAAAAGCAACAAAATTGATGTAATTTTATTCCTTTAGGTTTTTATTCCTTTAGGAATAGTCACTTTATTCTGAAGGGAAACTGCTCCCCGTGTTTTTCCAGCTATTTGTACTCAGATCTTTATAGTATATTAAATATTCTTCCTTTTCTACTGAATAACTCAGAAAAACACGCAGTTTGAGCACTGGCCCTTTAAGAAAAACCTCCCTTTCCTACCTGTCATTGAAACCGTCTTCGGCCAATCCGCGTGCAACCCCTGCCTTTTATAAGCCCGCCTCCGCCTAAGTCGCCAGAGGGGGCCGCTTGGGGCGCATGCGCACCAAGGACGAACCTGCTCCGTTTTTAATGGATCCGAATTCGCCCCGTTGTCTACTTAAGACTTACCGAGTTAGGTAAGCGGCTCGCCGGTGGGGCGGAGGAGAAGGCCCGGCACGGCTTGAGGAGCGGAGCCCTCGTTAAGGCGGCTTCTCCGCACCATCCGCGGACGTCAACTGCCTCGGGAAGCGAACGCAGCCCCCCCTCCCGCCGCAACGGCGTCCGTTCTCTAAACTGTGGCGGCCACTTCCGGTTGGTACGTTCCTAGATGCGTCCGGTGGGGAAATCGGAGGCTGCGCACTTTGGTTCCCACCTCGGTTATAATATATGCGACCCGAAGGCAGGAAGCGTTTCTTTCCCATTAAGACTGTGTTTCTCAACCTTGGTAGCTTGAAGATGGGTGGACTTCAACTCCCAGAATCCCCCAGCCAGCAGCGCTGGCTGGGGGATTCTGGGAGTTGAAGTCCACCCATCTTCAAGGCTGAGAAACACTGCATTAAGAGATTTTATTGATTAAATTTATTTTATTACATTCTTATGTCGCCCATCTCCCTTCCTCTTCACATTTTTTGGGGGAGGGGGATTTATTTAAAACAAGGGATTTTTAATTTGTTCTCTTACAAGATTCCTGTTGGCTTTTTGGCTACCAGAAGTTGTCTGGTAGGGAGATTTTGCATCCCAATTGGAGCTATTGTAACTGGGAAGGAAAGGTTCTTATTTAAAAACAAAGCATTCAAAATACGATTTTTGAGCTCTTGATTTAAAAAGGGTATTTAGCGGTTATGCTGGAGAGGTACCATCTAAATAAGGACTGATGTTGGGGGTGTGGATTTGAAGATGAAGAGAGAGCAGGGATGAAATCCAGCAGGTTCTGACGAACTGGTAGCGGGAATTTTGAGTAGTTCGGAGAACCGGCAAACGCCACCTCTGGCTGGCCCCAGAGTGGGGTGGGAATGGAGATTTTGCAGTATCCTTCCCCCAGGAGTGGGGAGGGAATGGAGATTTTGCAGTATCCTTCCCACAGGAGGGGGGAGGGAATGGAGATTTTGCAGTATCCTTCCCCTGGAGTGAGAAGGAAATGGGGATTTTGCAGTATCCTTCCCCTGGAGTGGGGAGGAAATGGGGATTTTGCAGTATCCTTCCCCCAGGAGTGGGGTGGGAATGGACATTTTGCAGTATCCATCTCCTGCCATGCCCACCAAGCCACACCACGCCCAACAAGCCACGTCCACAGGTAGTAAAAACATTTGGATTTCATCACTGAGACTAATAAAAATTGGCATATACAAACAGGGAGCACCTTACCCACTGTCACACTGATGGTGTTGCCTAGTTGGGTCCTGAAACGACTGCAAGAAAACTCAGTACCAAGGACCCCAGAGTCGTCCTCCTCCAACCCACTTCCTTCTAGCACTGATAAGGTTGCCTAGCTGGGCAATGAGACGTCTGTAAGCAAAACTGCCATGCACCCACCTAGGACTGCACAGAAAAGAGACTATTGATGCCTTAAAGTCGGGTTTTGAAAATTTATTAAAATCCAGGTGAAAAGTTCTCCCTCCACCGTCTATGTTAACGAGCAAACATCTGTGGTCCCAGGTGGGCTGCCCTCCAAAATCCTAGTGAAACCGTCTCCAAATCCGTCTGCTTCAATGAGGTCAGGCTCTCTATTGCACATGGGACAAAGCTGGTTGCGGATAACGGATGATCGCATCCAGATAATCAGGTTTCTGCGTTCGCCAGAGGTGATGGGCAGTGCCCCGTGTAGCTGCCCTCCGCGATGGAACAATCCGTAGAACAGCACGTGTTCGACCTCAAGGTAACTTGGCACAGGCTTGGCATCCTTAAAAAGAATGGACAAAGATCACCAGGTTAAAGAACTGTTTCAGCAGTTGTGGTCTTCAAATCAAGGCAGCGGAAACTAGTCGCTAAGACACCCAGCTAAAAACCAGGAGACGGAGAGTTCTAGTCCTGCCTTAAGCCTGGAAACTGGCTGGGTGACTTTTGAGCCAATGGCCAGCAGATGGAGAGTTCTAGTCTCATCTTAGGCAGAAAAGCCACTGGGTGACTTAGGGCCAGTCACCCACTCTCAGTCCAACCCACCTCACAGGATTGTTGTTGGGGAAACTAGGAGGAGGAAGGGATATTAGGTATGTTTGCTGCCTTGAGTTATTTCTAAGAATAATAAAGGAAAGATATAAAGAAAATAACCAAAAGTTATAACCATTGTACACATGTGATTATAGCTTTAATAATATTATTACATATATACATACATACATACATACATTTATACTTCCACAGAAATACACTTAATTTCTCCCCTGGCTCAAGCTGGTAAAGGGAGGAGAACTTGTGGCTCAGAGGTTAATACAACTGCCTAATATGCAGGCAGCCCAAATTCGAATCCGAGTAAGGGTATGGCTAGAGGGTATGGATGAGAGCTAAATACCTTGAGTTTGGCTAACTTTTTATAAAGCCACCAGATTTCAAACCCATCATATAGTAGTTAACTGCCCATCTCAACAATGCGTTGTCGATGGGGAAAAAAAGATTACAATCAATTGTATAAAATTTGTATTTTAAAAGAGGCACCTGTCTAAATTCCGCAAAGTAAAGGCTCCCTTCGGTGAACTCTTTCCCCAGGCAAACATTGAGAGTCACTTCCGCGTTGTCGTAATGAGTGTGCAAGTCCAAATCTTCATGCAGTGCGTATTTCACCACAAAAGCTTTGTGGCTGTCCAAGCAGCTCCCTCCACAGTCTGGGTAAAGCAGCGCTGTCAGGGGTTGCAAATATTTCTCTCGCAGAGGTGTAAGAAAAGTTTCGTCCAGTCCAAGTTCATTCAAAAGCACCTGCCATAAAATGTGAACGAGAAAGGAAAGGACAGAAGATAAAAGGGAGAAAGGAAATATGAACATTCTAGCAGAAGATTCAAATCCATTTTTTTCAAGAGCTTAAAAAAATGCTTTTTATTATGTCAAGTATTAGCAATGTAACATTAATAATTGTTTTGTATTAAGTGAGACAGGATAGTATGCAAGTAACCCTGTTCCCTCTAACGTTGAGAAAGTACATTTAACAAAACTAATTCCCACATTATGGTTCCGTTACATCCCCCATTTTTGCCATCTACAAGATGCAAATCTCACCCCATAGTTATTCATAGAATTGGGTCTCCCTTTGGGCATCTCGGACTGTTCAAAATGTTCTAACTCCTCAACAAAAGCTTCGCAGAATTCCTTGGTGAATATTGGCAACCGGTAGATTCTCTTATCTGAAGTAGAAGAAGAAAGTAACCAGAAAAGGGATTGAAGAAATTCACTTTATTGCCTAGCAGGAGTAAGTATATTTTCCAGCTGATAAAATAAACTAGTCCATTTTTTTTTCTTTTATAGTTAGAGATTAAGACGTTTGTGGGCAGAAGGCCATAATTCAGGATTTTTAAAATTTATTTGCATATAAAATAATGAATTTCCCAAGCTGAATGGAATTTTAGCAGCAAGGGTGAGAAAGATTCATCTGTGCATGAGAAGCCTTTCCTGAGTCAAACAGTAGTAAGCTCAGCCTGCTAGATTTATACCTCTTTGCAGGCTATGGATAAAAGAACACCTACCGGTAATTTTACTTGATAAGGATTCCACATGGTGAAGGAGACCCTGGAGATCAGCATTTTGGGATGTGCAGTACTTGACAGTTTTAAAAATTCTGGGTTAAAAAATGATTCCTACCATAGCAGGTAGGGATGAGGAGAGAACAAGAGAAACAAAATTGAACAGAATAAACGTTACTTCTGATTAACTGGCCTATAATTTGCATCAGATTTTTTTGGGCTGCTGCCCAGGTAAATTATTCCTCTACCTCAATCACTGGTAAATGATTTGGTATCAACAACATCTAGATTATGAGGTTTTCTCTTTGTCAGAAAAGGCTATGAAGCCTCAAGTTAGTCTCACTTTGCTTCATAATTTGCGTAAGTCCCCTCCTCTTCCTCCCCCTTCCTCTGAGCATAAACTGATGTGCAAACACAACGAAGCACATCCTTTACCTGTAAAATATATAGCTGTGGATGCTTTGGTCTGTAATTCTGAGAGATGATTGCTTTTCTTTCTCTGGACAGATGGTCCAATTCCTTTCTCCTCTGCACTTCTTTTTCAACCTACAACAATTCAATCCAATTGTTTATAAACTCTTAATTAAGATATATTTAAAATAGATACAAGGAGATTTCCGCCTCGCTTTCATGTTTACAGAAATAGCGAGGGGGGTCTCATAAAATTCAAAAAGTGCCACCAGAAACTCGGTGTCCATGAGTTCACATAAATCTGTGGGTTATTGGTGATTTTTGGTCAGAGTCTCTCTCGCCGCCCAACACCCCCTCCCCGAGGGATAGTGGGGGAAAATAAGAGGCAAGAATTTTGTACATACTGCTTTGAACTATACAAAAAAGGGCAGGATACAATTCTAGAATCATAACCATCTTCCAGTTGTGTGGTTCTTTCAAGCTAATGTAGGGCAATAATACTATGGAACAATTCACAATTGTATGATTCTTCGAAATAATGTAACAATAAGTCTCAAATTCCACAACGGTGTGATTCTTCCAGCTGATATGTAATTATATAAGCATGTATATATACATACTATATATCAACATGCCTCAGTTTTTAAGAACTATGCTGGTGTGATTATTCCAGCTAATATAGAGCAGCAATAACACTGTGGAGTAATCCAAAACGGTATGGTTTTTCAAAATAAGGTAAGAATACCGAATTTCCACAATTCCACAGTGCAATTCTTCCAGGTGATACATAATTCCATAGGTAGGCTGTGTGCATCTGTATACATACATAAACATACATGTACTCTGTGTGTGTATGTATGTATATGTGTGGAAGGAAGGAAGGAAGGAAGGAAGAAAAGAAAAGGAGAGCAAGTGCGGAAGGAGGGAAGAAAGAGGAGAGTAAATGGGGAGGAAACAAAGACAAAAGAGAAGGAAGGGAAGGGAAGGACGGAAGGAAAAGAAAGGAAAGAAAGAAAAGGAAAGAAGGAAAGGAAAGGATGGAAGGAAAGAAAGACGGAAAGAAAAGGAAGAAGAAAAAGAAAGGAAAGAATGAAGGAAACAGAGAAAGAAAGAGGAAGGAAAGAAAGAAAGAGAAAGAAAGAAAGAAGGAAGAAAAAGAAAGAAAGAAAAGAGAGGAAAGAAAAAAAGAGAAAAGAGAAGGAAAGAAAGAAAAGAGAAAGA